TTTAATTCAGCTGCCAGAAATAGCTAGGAACAATTTCAAAGTCGTTGAGAGGAATAAAGTATTTTCAAAACCTGTAATGTGAGCTATATTTGACACAGACCATAAGGTGCATATAAGAAAGAGAGAGTTGTTTTTTGCCTTTATCAAAGGCTCTCTCACATTAATGGTCGGTATGGGAAGTGAGGGAATGTGTCAAGAACCAGAGCCATCAATCATGACATATTTTTCTATAAGGGAGGCTATACAGGCCGGATCTATGTATGTATGGCTTTGGGTGTGCTCTTGATGAGGGTCTACGTACATTCCCTCTCAAGGTCAAAGACACAGACAGAGGGGTGTGTGTGTGTGTGTGTGTGTGTGTGTGTGTGTACATATGTGTACGTGTGTTAGTGGGGGTCGATATCCACAGCATACTCCCCTCCCAAGGACAGTGGGACCCAGTGTGAGACAGAGGAAGGCGCTCTACCGTGGGATAAGTACAGGTTGGATATAGCAAGAGGTAGTTAAGTGGAAAAGACTAACAGATGCTGGGGCTAGTTTACTCAGGGGGGAGGGAGCCACACCACAGCTCAAGCACTAGCACCCCGACACACACACACACACACACACACACACACACACAGAGTGAGGCTGCATTCTCACTGTGGCTTAGAAAAAACAATTTTTACGGCGATGGCTGGAGAACAGTTTGTATCTCTTTAAGCTATTTTAACAGCAGAAGCAACTTGGATAAAAACCTGACTCTCTTCAGTGAAGACAGACGTATCTCCAACAGCGGCTGAATTCAATTTCAGAACATTAAAGGCTCAGTTCACCAAAATTACAAAGGGAAAAAAATCTTTCTAAATGTACCTGTTGAGGCATCTAACCATTCAGATACTTTTGGTTTTATTTAGGTTTTTATAAATATCTATGAGATTTCTGCCTCTTTGCCAATACAATGGGAGTAAACTCAGTTTTATTTGGGGTGCACAAAAAAAAATCAGCTGATTTGATTGGGAGCCTTTTCATTCCTTTTTAAAAAATAATTTCAGTGAACAGATCCTTTAAGAAAATCCCAACTTGCCAAATTATTGTAAATCATTAAGTCGTCTATGAAATAACGACAGGTAAGTACAGGTGTGTGTATCCTGATTTTATTACGTAGCAGACAAAGCGGGAGGCAAAAAAAAAAAACACGATACAAATCAACACAATGATGTAAATTTCAGATCCTTTACTTAAGTAAAAAGGTAAAAGAACAAAGGTATTGGCAGGTAAATGCACTTAAAGTATCAAAGTAAAAGTAGCCTATTTGTTTACTTTTATACTGTATCACTGGATGTTTATCACTGATGCACTGTGTATAATTAGTGTACTATATTAAATATAGACCCCTGCATTACATTAAATTTGAGCTAATACCAATGGAATATCTGACATACAGGTTTAAATGTAAATGGATGATTTTTTTTTTTTTTTAAATACTTGGAAATCGTTCTTTAAATTATACAATATGTCTAATATAAACACTTGCAAAACAGTAAACTTTTGATTTATAAAGTTTGATATTCAATTATATTATGTTTTCTTTTTTCTCCAGATTATAATAATTATTTTTAATACATTTTTTTCCCCCCTTGATCCACAAAGTGGTCTCAGACTTTTGGACCCCACTGTATGTGGCCTATATATAGATATTTCCCCATTTATACTTGCACTACAATATAACATATATATTTGCGCTGTTTGTGCAAATATGCAATTATTATTATTAGTGTACATCATGTATCATGGATCAGATCTTTAGTTCTTGTGGCCATTGTGTAATGTTTGTGTTGTTTATGTGTTGAAACCATAATAACACTGTTTTGTATTGAAAATCTTAATTTGTAAAATAACTTGTTGCCTTAGCTGCCAGATAAATGTAGTGCAGTAGTAGAAATAGAATATTTGACTCTGAAATGAAGTGTAAATTCTCCTTGAACCTCAAAACTGCATTTAAGTACAGTATTGGAGAAAATGTACTTTTACTTCCCACCACTGCTTCTGTGTTATGACTAGTTTGACACTAAATACTGAGTGTATTTATCGGGCTTTAACCATGACACATACCACAGACAAAAACAGATGCTGTTTAAATCCTCATCTACTTTTTAAAGTGTGTTTGTAGTTCATTTTCACCAGTGTGAGTTTACTGCCAACTATGACTGCAGAATAACGTTGCTATGGCGACACTTTAAAGGCTCAGTTCATCCAGATTATAAAAACCCCACATTGTGTTTCTTACCCCCAGTGGTTGGTCTAGCTAAATAGTTTGGGTTTTTATACGCCCAGATTTCCAGAGCCAAAATGGGTGAAAGGAATTTTGTTTGTTGTGTTTGCAGCAGTGGGAAATTCAATAACAATGTGTCTCTGCAGAAACAATGTTTATCCCTGGAATAACTGAGTGTGAACACTCTTCTGGAACTCTTGCAAAGAAAATGTCTGTATAAAAGATGCAGATTTTCCCTGCTGTGAGTCCGACTCCAGATCTCTGAATTCTCTGATTTGTTTCAGGGATTCAAACAGGTGTTGTGCACGCTGAGGGCTGGTTCCCATGCTGCTGGAAAAACAACTGAGCCAATCAGTATGGAGAATTAAGAATGGGGGGGGGCAACATCTTTATGAAGTGAGGTTAATCCAGATTCAAGAAAACTTAATTCAAAATCCCATTGACCATTGAAACTAATGACTAAAACTCCAGCCTTGGAACAGAGCCTCTCTCTACAGCATGTTGTGTGTCTCACTTACACTACGTGTAGCCCTACTGATGTTTTTAGCAAACGGTTCACAGCTTTAGTATTTCGGGTCAGTTAAGTCAAGTTATGATGACACCCACGATGCCGCACTGGGCAAATATAAAGGGCAGTAATTGTTTTTTAACTTTGATAAAATCAGAGATGTTTCAGTTTTTAATAGCTACCTATGTAGTGGATTTCAATATGTCTAATAATATGGAAAATAAACTACAGGAACACACTTCATTTTTTTCATAAAGACTGATGAAAGAAACGCTGAATGAGAGATGACGTTGAGTTATCTATGTTCTCTCTCAATCACACAAAGGCAAGTCCCGACATGACGTCGTGGCTTCAACTCTCAACAGGCACAGATGTGTTTACAGAAGCAAGACCTCAAGGTAACAACGCATAAATCGTTAACTTCTCCTAGCAACTGCTGCCACAAACTGCGTCTGTTTGACTGAAAATGATGATGGGACAAACAGAAAATGGTTAAAATGAACAGAGACTGAGTAATGAGCTGAAAACATAAATACCACTCAGTCTGATTGTCAGACTACCATAAACTACATTCCATTTACCTCCACTGAATATGAGGAGGCGTAAACGTCAGAGAGTCAGAGACAAACCAAAACTATCTGTATGACTACACGGCATTAGAGGTGAAGGAGAAAATACGCTTTTCTGTGTTCTGTCTTTGGACCAACCGTTTAATATTCTACCTTAAACATTTATATTTAGATTGGTGGTAACTTAAATGTTTGCAGTGTCCAGTTATACAGTGTTATTTTAACCACCATTTGTCAGCCAATCAGAAACAAGCATTTCCTGTGGCCATGCCATAACTTGTGTATATGCATGAAAAAACCACTGGCTGTGTTAACACCTCCATGACCGGATGTTGCTGTGACAACCTTGTATTGGTCACACTGGACTGCTTCCTATTCGGGTAAGACTTTACTGTCAACTCCCTGACATTAAATATCCACATGTCACTTTCAGCAGGGTCTCACACACACACACACACACACACACACACACACACACACACACACACACAATCCCAATAAAAATCACAATAATCACAATCTGTGCTGTCACACATGACCTCACCAGCCACACACACACACACACACACAACACACCCAACTGCCCTCTGTCTCTTCTCTCACTCACACACTCATGCACACACACACACAACACACCCAACTGCCCTCTGTCTCTTCTCTCACTCACACACTCATGCACACACACACACACACACACACACACACACAAACCACTGGCATACCAGAGAGCCTATATTTAAAATGAACCCTGGGGATGTTTTTTATTTTCAGCATTTAGACATTCTATCAAAAGTGGTCAATGTGGATACTTGGGTGTAGAGAGAGAGGGACTCTGTGTGTGTGCGTGTGTGCGTGCGTATGTGTGTCCGTGTGTGTGTGTGTATGTGTGTCTGTGCGTGTTGGTATGTGTGTGCAAGTGAATCAGTGAGACTGATGGTAAACATAGGTATGACACAATATAATCATAGCATAGGGACAGCAATGAGTCAACAGCCTTTTACAATAAGATAATGAACGTAAATTCAGAAAATGAGCATGAGAGTGTGATTATGGAATTTTTGAGCCAGACCCAAATAGTTACAAATTTGCTAAGGCTGCAAAATACCACCTTCCAAACTTGTAGCCGTTCCAAATACAGCCCTGTCATCCCACGTCTCATTTTCAAAGCCTCTCTTTTCTCCCTCTCTCCTCCCACCACAAATCCCAGAACCTCGAGCAACAGAGAGAGAGAGAGAGAGAGAGAGAGAGAGAGAGAGAGAGAGAGAGAGAGAGAGAGAGAGAGAGAGACACACAGAGGAGATGAGGGGAGCATTTAAATGTAGCGTTCCGTGAGTGGTCGGGTCGGTGTCTGGAAATCTTTCACATCCTGTTTACGCCGGGGCAGATTTCAGCCCGGGACCGCAGAGAACTGGCAGGGCCTCCGCCTGGACACAGCTCCTCTCTCTCTTTTCTATCTGCTCCCTGCCTCCCTCGCCTAAAGATCGGCGTCTGCAAACCTTTCCACACCGCCTCCTTCCTATCAACACCTTCAAACCTAAAGCAAACAAGCACACGTCAAGCTGCCCACGATTGAGGTGGAATCAAAATCCTGATAAAAGGAATCCTTTTTATGCAGCAGGCTGACCAAATGTGGCCAAATCACACAACACCCCCTTTTTAATATCCAAGTACAGGTTTAATACAGCTATGTTGTCATATTTACAGTGTCCTATATCAGACGGAAAGTTCCAGAGAATGAAGAAAAATGAAAAGTTTTCATGCCTGTAAGGGAATGTCAGTAAAGTCTTGATATTTGGGTCAGGTACGGTAAAAAAATAACATCTCAAAGGTCTGCTAAAGGTGATCAAACAGTGAAGATTCATGAACAAAGGATCCATCTGTCCTCTCGTCTTTATTTTCACCCTGAGTGAAGCAGTTTGAAGTTTCAGTCCTGTTAATCATTCTCCTCCTCTGTGCCCCCCTCCCCCCCCCTCACCTCTTCCTCTGAACTTGCTTCCCTCAGCGGCACTTGCAGGATTTGACGACCATGTTGGAGAGTTGCTCAACACGTGGTGTGCGGCCGATGAAGTACATGATGGTGAGGGGCTCCAGGTCCTGAGGAACGCAGCAGGGTGAGGCGGAGGCTTCAGGGTTCAGCTTGTTGTACAGGGGCAGGATCTGACCAGGGAAGAGAAACAAAGGAAAGTTAAAGGGCTCTGAAAACATATTTTCAGTTTCTTGCTATGAATGATGAACACAGTTTTTCCAAAGTTACAGTTTTGGTTATTTCTCATGGCGGACTTTCTGTGTTTGTGTTTTGTCTTTGTGCTAAACTCAGCTAACCAGCTGCCGCAGGTACAGATGTGAGAATCCAGAATAGATGTGAAACTCTGCACAACTACACATCTCTATTACAAGAATGGATATGAAAGAAGAAAAAGTAAAACCAGAGGGATATGTAAGAGTCTGTGTGACTACAGCCCAATGAGCTATGGGACAATGTTGCGTAATCCTATATGTTCAGCACTTGGCAGGTGACAGGTGAGAGCCCATTTATGACATTGGGACTGACCAATTTTAGCAGCCGAGGTGTTTCACTGTGAGAAACAATGCACATTAAGCACATTTAAGGGTTTAAAGTTTCTGTACACTGAAGTCTGGCTGAAAGTCGACCGGAGTTTGGTCCAGACCACAGCATTTCACCACAGAGACAGAGGAGTGACCTTTTCTAACATTTCAGAAGTTGTTTTTGTTTGGAACGGAGCAGCTGTTTGTAACTGATCAGGCACAGATGATTTCTGTTTATACAATTGGCTGTTGGTGTCTCACGTTGAGAGGTCTGTCACCGTTTCCATTCAAACTATTAAGAAAAAAAAGGTCATGAATCTCAAGATTGGAGCAAAATACAATTTGGAAAAAATAGCACATTTGTTTTTGCTTGACCGTATTAGAAAGGGTAATCTGATTTATTCGTCTGAGTGGTTAAAAAAGATATTTTTGTGGTGGCGTGTTTCACAGTGGCCAGCCAGACACAAAAGCGAATGCAGATTTTTTGACAAAGAAACAGCAGTTGTGCAAGAAACCAAATACATGTTTTTACAAAATGTGAAACAATTCCTTTAAATTTTTTTTTTTTTTGTACAACCCCCTTTTCCCCCCAACAAGAAAAGAAGACAAAATGTTAAATGCTGCGTAAACACGGTCAGCCATATGAAAACTTTGCTTTAATAAAATAACTCCATACAGTAAGTGGTATTTACATCAGGAACTACCTGATGGAAAAATAAATAAACCAGATTAAAAATCAGGCCAGGGATTAAGTTCCAAGAACGTTGTTTCAGTCTCTACCAATAAAATGTTTAGGTTTGATTTCCAGCCCTAATCATATATAAATACCCACTCACCATGTTGTAGTGGTTGTTGGCACTCCAGATGTAAGGACAGTTGCCAGCACAGAAGTTAGCTTTGTAGCCTTTGGGCTCATGGATCCACTTCCAGTTGAGGTCACGCCTGAAGTCGATGTAGAGCGAGCGCAGGCAGCAGCCCTGGTCTGAGCCACTGAGACAGACAGAGAGACACACCATACACATTTCAACTCCCATCCTGGCCCAAAGTTGGGTCATGGGAAAATGACCACGGGTCACCGTTGAAGAACCAGCCATCACAAGGTAATGACCATGCAAGGCTGCCAGAGTTTTCCCCTGCAGCGTGAGGTAGTCTAAATAAAACACTGCATGCCTGTTGGCCTGCAGTCTAAACACAGGGTCAATAATGTTTGTTTTGTCACACAAAAGTCTGCAAAGTAAGTTTTGGGTAAAAAAAAAAAAAAAGAAAGAAAAGAAACTGAAATCCAACGCCCACCACAACTTCATTTCAGAATTATAAAACTACAAATCCTGGAACAGTGTCGGTGCTGTCAGTCAGTCACACATAACCACACACATGCGGCTGGTTTGCGGCCTACCGGGAGCAGGTTGTGGTGTCCGTGGCGGCTGCCCTCTTCTTGCGGTTCTTCTTGGCCGGGTTGTCAACTCTGTCGCTGGGCAGCAGGGTGAGGATGAGGTGTGGCGTCTTGGTGCTGAAATCCGCCTGGCCTTTAACCTGACCGGGTTTTCTTATCCGACGAAGCTGCTCGTCATCCACACCTGCGGAGAGTAGAGTGCAGTGGTGGAAAGTTACTAAATGTATGTAGTCAAGTACAGATGTAGCAGTAAAGAAGATCATTAAAATTAGCTCCAACTTTACCAGCTGCAACATTTAAGTTTAGTAACATTTTAAATGTAGAACTACAGTAATTCTACACTGTGGCATTGTTACTTTTACTTAAATAAAAGATCTGATACTAGATAGTTGTCCCTCTTCAGATTTTTTAAACCTTTTCAAATGAAACAATCTGAGAGCGGCACATGAATCATTACCGGAACTGAGATATGCAACCTGTTGCAACACGGCTTTGTTTTAAAGCCAAAAAAGTTGGGAAACACTGACTTTCATCAGTTTGCATAATTTGAATGGCAGAAACAGTAATAACCACAAATTCACAGATTCTGTTTGTGAATTTCTTCTAGCCATGGTTTTTACACTTCAGTTTGTTCACTTCGTTTTTCTGGACTAATCTTGAAGTCCTATACATGAAATATAGTTGTTTCCAAGAATACGAATGATGTTTTTGTATCTGATTTTTCTTTCTGAGCTTCAGGAGTAAAAGTGCTCAAAACAAGCCCTTGCTTGTTTCACAGCAGTATCAAAAGTCGATTTTTTTTTCCAGGTGTGGAAAAAAAAAAACCTGACTTGGCTCAGCTGAGTGTAAATCCTGAGGAAGGTGCCATAATTTGGGGCCTAAACGAAGCAACACAGACAGTCTGGTATTCAGTAGTATCACAGTGTGTGGAGGAACAGTTTCTCCATTGTTCCCGTATCATAGTCTGCGAGCGAGTCATGAATCATTTTGGAGGCGCCTTACAGAAGAGGCTCCACTTCGTCTTCACATTTAGTGACCTGCAGGATTATTGCTGTGCCAATTAATCTTCCACAAGTGCTTTTAATGCCCTTACAAAGAAATTTACAACCAACCTAATAAAGCCACATTTCTCATCTGTATGGCTACTGGGATGAAACTGTTTATTACACTTATGACTCGGAGGTGACCTGAGCCTTAGGAAAGCTGCTCTAATCATCCACTACACATATGCAGATACAGTATGTGCCAAGACCTGGCGAACATGATGCGCAGTGACAACGAAAAAGAACTGCAACAAACCTGCAAACAGGGCCTCCAGTTCCTCACTCTTGTTGGGAACGATGTTGTTGGTGGATGGGACGAAGGTGCAGCAGGGACAGTGGACGCCCAGCTTCAGCCCGAGATTATTCTCTGAAGTAGGAAAAAGAAAAAAAGACGCATGTGAGGACGAACGATACAGACACAGTTGTATGGATCATCATGGGAAATGTGCGTCTGGTGCTGAAGCCGACCTGGATCTGACACCCAGTCCTTAACAGTTTCCGTGACATCCACAGAGATCCAGGACCCCTTCGCCCTCGGCTGCACGGTGCGGGAGTCAATGTAACGCTGAGTGGAGGTGCTCTCTTCATCTGGCTTCAGCAGCTGACACAAAAAACACAGAAAAACAGCGATGGAGCGGAGGTGCAGATACACAGTCCAACTGACACAAGCGGTGCATTGTAATGTTTTGCTTTCTTCTCCTCTCGCGGACAGTAAATGTTATCATTTCCACTGTGGAGGCAGTGGCGCAGAGCGTAACACTGTGTCATTGCTAAAGCCAATAATAACCTGCACAACTTTAATCAGGCATGTAAATTATGTTACCTCACTTTCCTGGGGCTAACATTTTTATGTAAGAGGTATAAAATGTCTCCCTGAAGCCAACATATAAATTCATCTTAACTGGTGAAGATTTAGTGTCATAATAGTCTTATCGGCCTGATGTCAAAAATCTATACAAAAGACAGTTATAAATGGTGTTATTGATCACATCATGAACATTATTTTTCACAGAGAAGAAACAAGTGAGAAATATTTTTTCAGTGGTTTTGACAAGACACAACCCCTGGGTCTAGTTTGTTGTAATAAAAAAGGACAAATGGAGCCTGATGTAATTTTGAAGAAGCATGGATTTAGTGTCTGCTTCATAATTGCAGGTTTTATTTGGATCCAAAAGCTTAAAAAAAGGCAAAGCAGTATCTCAATGATGTTGCTGATTACATACTAGTTTTGTGTTTCAAGGTTGTGCTCTCACTTTGAGCCTCATCCCCTGGTGTCTTACTGTTGTTTACCTGATAGATCTCCACTCTCTGCTCCGAGGCCCGGGCCTGCGGGTTGGGAGCTCTGAAGATCCTGAACTCAGCCTTGACCAGGGTGCTGTTGGTCAGGTCGACTCCACTGACGTCAAAGTGGACCACTCTGTAGTGGGGGTTGGGTGCTACTGGCTGCACTGCATCTGGATGGAAACACAGAGGATGACTGGTACATTGTCTCGGACATAATTGCTGCTGATGAGTGCCTTGAGACTAAATGATAGGTTTAGGTACAGTGAGTAAATGTATTGCACGCTTAATATACGGCCAATCATTGCATCAATGTGTTTTACTAAAACGTCACCTACCACTATATAGCTGCTCTGAAGGCCTCAGAGAACTGAGCACCTTGCTCAGACGTACGTCTACAGAGGCTGTTGAAGGACAGGGGCAGGATAACTTAATTTCTCCACCCCTTCGTCATTTTCCCAAACCGCTGCTTCTGTTTTTATGGGCAGTAGTACTGCAGCTCCCAGCAGCACCCCTGGTTTAAACAGGCTATGACAGGCAGTATTTCTGTTGATGTACTGTCTGTGCAAATATTGTAATTAAGCTGAATTCTAAAGTACTGATGCTTTATTTTAGAATTTCCATTTTATGAAACTGTACTCAATTTCAGTGGGAAATATTATACTTTTTATTCAGTTTGCCGGCTCTGAGAGCTTCAGATATTAGTTTAATAAATGTACAGACTTAATTTTAAGTCCCACTATTTAGCATTCATAAGCAGGACATAAACATTCAATAAAGTCTATAACACACTATCCATTCATATATTAGTGAACAACTACAAATGACAATAGTAAAATATTGTAATCATATAAAATATGTCTATATTGTAATTGTTGAAAAATACTGTACATTAATAATAAAAATGTCAGTATAGCTGCTATTAATGTGTTATAAACCATTGCTTATAAATACTAAAAAGGGGGGCTTAAAGTTAAGTGTTACCCACATACATTAACCATATGAAATGTAGTGCATCTCAACAGACAGAGCTACACAAACATGTATAAAGTAGACAGAACCAACTGCACCAGGTACAACATTAAAGTGGTGCTCATGCATCAGTGCATCAGCAATTTTACCAGCAGGAATGGACCAAGTTTATTTTTCAACAAATCAGTTTTGCTGCTAATGCTTGTAAAATGGTGTGTTTTACATATTTCTACTTTTACTTAAGTAGGATCTAGATACTTCTTCCACCACTGAGTACTTTGAAGACAGCATGGAAGGTAGTACCAATGGAAGTGAAGTCTGTGTCTACAATTAACTCAGCTCACTTTATTCTTGACGTGTGGTCCACTGAGGTAAGAAGATAACAGTGATTAAACATAAGTCTATAAAAATAGACTACTGCTACATATCAGTGGTTCCCAACCTGGGGCTCGGGACAACAGTGGGTTCCCAAGGTGTATCTGAGGGGTCACGAGATGAACAAGGTGATAAGAAATGAAAAAATATATTTGCCACAAAAAATTATAGTCTTCTTATAGAGGTTCATTTTGGGCCCTCTGAGGCCCCCGGACCACACATTGAGAACCCCAGCCATACCTCACACATGGACTCACTTGTGTCGGTGCGAGGGGGCAGCATGTCAATCCTCTGCACTTCTTTAGCATAATAGTCCTCCTCGCTGCTCTCGCGCTCGCACGCGGACTCGGTCAGGCGCGCGCGCTCCTTCAGCAGCTCCCGCGTGCTGTTGTACAGCAGCATGACCTCCGGGGGCACCGGGGCAGGCGGTGGGGCCTCTTCTTCTTCCGGCGGGCTACGGATCCGGAGCTTACTGAGGATCTGTCCGCGGACCGCCTCAATGCGCCGGGACTTCTGTGCGTCCAGGTTGATGGACTGGCACGTGTTGAGCCCCTCCACCAGCAGCACACCGGAGAACCGGAGCAGCAGCAGCAGCGCGAGGCGGGGGAGCCACATTGTCCGGCGAGGAGACGGAGAGAAATCCAGCTGAAAAAAAGGAAGGTCTCTGCGGTGGACTGCAACTAAAGCTGAGTCTCAAAGTCAAGCACCAAGAAATATGCGCGTAAAGTGATTTAAAATTTAACCTGAGGGTTAAACCAATGCCCCAAAACCAAAAAAATCCAATATCCACTTCAAACAGGGTATTTTAGTCAAAACCACTTCATGTGGAAAAGGAAACCCACATCTGCTGACTTCACATTTATTCTGCTAAGGTAATTTTATAACATACACGCGCCTGCTTATTTCAACACCAGACAAATAAAGCCGCATCGTCACTAATTCTTTAGAGATTACATTTAAGTTAATTAGTCTAAAATGAACTATTCTTGTAAAATCCGTGCTTGATTGCCTTTAAACGCTAAATGATATCACACAACAACCAAACTCCACTGCGAAAAGCTCAAATTTAGTGACTGGAAATTTGGCTGACGCCTCGGTCCCAGTCTGGTGCGCTCAGAAGCTCCGGTGTTATTCCGTGCCGGTGTGCGCGCGCGCTTTCCGCGTGTAAAGGTGAAGAGATTTAACTATAGTCTGTCCGTTAAATTATGGTTTTATCCGTCTCCGTCGTCCATCCTCTGAGAATTCAACAGCCTTCAGGAGAAAAGAGTCATCACAGGAGCTCAGCCCATGTCGCAAGCCCTGCAAAGAAAAACCTGAGCTACTCACTTCATCTGAAGCAGCAGGGTTCCTCTGCTTTTACCTCCGAAAGACCCATTTGTCGAGCAAAAAACTGGCCCATACCCGCTTCCAGAAAATCTAGTTAGAGCCTTTAAAAAAACTAATGAGATCCTCCCATTCCCTGTAATAGGTAAACAGAAAGCAGCCTGCACCAAAACGTAGGAAAGAAACTGTTGATTTATGTTGGAAAAACCATGGTGGGCCTGTTAATCCCCCTCACATAAACATCAAAACACGGAAAAAGTCAGACGACATAAAAAGACATGACGCAGAAAAATATATGAAAGAAGTCCTTGTGCTGTGAATAAAAAAAAAGAAAAAAAACTTTACAGTAAATTACAGATTCCCGGTTTAAATGAGCTCCAGCCTGATGTCTGCTGGGCTGAAAGCGCTTTTGAAAACACTGAGACCTGCTGCATGATGTGAGTCCATTATTCTGCAGATCCTCTGTGAGAAATGCACAGAGCCTCAGACAGAAGGAGTCTGGGAGGGAGGGAGGGAGGGACTGGATGTGGAGAGAGGTGGTGGTGGAGGTGGGGGCGGGTGGCCACCAAAGTGAAGGGAGTGTGTGATTATGTAGGCAAGAGCCATCTTCCTCTCACATAGAGGACGCGCGCGCACAAGCACACTTGCATGCAATTTCTTTTCTCCACAAAAATGCCTGCACCACCCTCTGTCCGCAGGTAAACATCTCCTGACAGAAAACCAGGCTTAAAGGACTAATTCTGCATTTTGGGAACTATGCATTTAGCCATCTCTGTCTACATGAACCAACATCAGAACAGTATTCCATCAAATTAATGTAAAACTGCTGGGCGTCATCATGATACCAAATATTATATACATTTCTCCCTTTTGGCGTCTGATCACAGAACATGTGATTTTTGCTGTGGCAGAAAGAAACATGCAATTTAATCATTTGGGCTTTAAAATGGTTTTATAGCCCAAAGTTCCTGAGAATATTTATATGCTGCGTGTTTTTGTTGTACATCCAGGTCCAGTGGGTTCACACCCCCTCCAGGACTGTCAGGAACTGTGAGCTTCACTCTGCTGGGCTTCTGTTCAACAGTGATAGATATTTTCGGTGTTATTCAGTCTTTAACGAAGGTGAGAGAAATGCCAAGTTCTTGATGATTACTGGATTGATAATTGCAGCATTTCTTTTTTAAATTTCCAGATACAGGTCAACAGAAAGAAGTGCAGCAGAATGAAGGTCACAGTTTGGGTACAGAAAGTACAACTAAATATGCTGCATCTAAATATTGTCAGGTACATGGTTTTTGTTTGACCCATTTTAAAGACTGATCAGTGTTCATAGCAAAAACCACTCCTATAAACATCCAAGCAACATGCTGCGTTCATGACAAGTAGGAGTTATCGCAATTATGATTCAGTGTTCCCACCAACTTCCAAGTTGTAGCCGACACTGGAAAACTGATTTTTCTGAAAGCTCCAATATGTTTACTAACACAGAAGTGCCTGAAAACAAAACAAATATGAACGACCAAAAAGTATATACAAGTTTCATCAAAATAAATTAAATATTAACACTATTACAGTGAATTCAGCTCTTTTTTGAAAGAGCAATAGACTTTCATATCTGGTTTCACTTGGTAAGAAACTGGTGTTACTACAAGGTTAGCATTGTGTGAATGAAGCATTATGTTGTCAACCCACAACCCTCACACAACCGCCTCTGTGATCGCAACAAATAGTCGAGTTGTTGGGTGACGTGAACGATCACAAGTCGTTAACACGAGAATCTTTCCCATCTCTACCAAACACTCAACATGACGCCAGTTATAGCTTCATACTTATGCGAGGACGACCGTGGGTTTCGATCTTTGCCAGAAAGCCAAGAAACACATTTCCCAAAATGTCAAACTAAATCTTTAAGCATCAAAATGTTCAAAATGGAAGATGGAGAAATAAGATAATTAGTCCATTCCAGCGATTTCCAAACGCAGCTTTAGTCAGGATCTCAGTGGGATTTCCAGCTTCGACTCACTCATGCTGACAGTTTAAGGCTTATCCTAATTTTATTAAATCACTCCACAGAGAGCCCATCCCTTTATATCTTTATCTTTTCAAGCTTTCAATCCAGCTCCTTTCTTTCCCCTCTGTTCCTCTTCGGTCTCATTGTTAATTACAGTTCAGAACTTGGAGAGGACTGTTAATCTGTCAGGGGTGGCTTTTATTGCTGCTCTGCTGCCATCCCATTATACCGTTATTATAGTTGCGGGTGCAGGCCTGTAATTGCTGTAAGTAGAAGGGAAAGGTAGGAGAGACTCAGGCTGCCTCGAGGATTCTGGTCAGGGCAAACCCCCCCCTTCATCGTCTGTCCTGGCAAGGTTTCTAAAAATGATAACACTGCCTGCGAACAAACAGGCTCCTGTTCCAACTTGACTGCCGCTGCTGCACCATCTCACACAGCCAGAAACTACTGGAAAAAACACTTCATTTGTCTTTGCGGACCTCAACTCTTTCTTTCAACAATGTTCTTAAAAAGATCAGGCACACTGTGGGGCATCTCGGCTCACAGGAGCCCCCCCAGGTAGAGTGGTGTGTGTGTGTGTGTGTGTGTGCGTGCGTGTGTGTGCTGTAATGTGTGGCTTAAAAGAAGAAGAAGAAAAAAAAAAGAAAGACTTCCTCAAAAACAACTTCTAGCCTGTCTGCTTTTTATGCCTCTTTTCCTCAAGGCCAAATATAGACAAGCCACTGCCACGTCATCTGGTCCTCAGCACTTTCTTAAACCCTGACAGAGGGCGAGATGGGGTTCAGAGCCTCAGCACACACAAGCGGGGTTATATTTTAGCATGTCTGTAATATAACTGAATCCATATTTTCCACAAAAACCTGAAACCATTTTGGCTGTCATGGAAATCAGGACAGTTTTATTGAAAAAGAAAAAGAAAGAGCCCGAACAGTTACAAAAATAAATACAGATAAAACCACTGGGGGTTAGTCTCGGGGAACATTTCCATCCATTACTCTTCAAATCTTTTCTCTCCATTGGCAGCATCAGCCACTTAAAATGTCATAACTACAATCAACCAAACAGTGTGGCCTATTTTCTCATGGCACCAACTCAAACCAGAGTCCAGCCTCCCTCCTCTCTCTCTAAATACGCACAGGCCGATCTGAGTGACAGTTTGGGGAAAGGAACCATTGGGCTGCCGTTTACACCTCGTCTTCGTTCAGCAGCATGTTGGGGATTCCTCTGGAGATGGGGAACTCTCGTCCGGACTCGGGACACTGCAGACAGCCCTCTACCACCTCCACCTGTAACACAAACAGACAGAAGGTGTGAGACCACCACTAGATATCATCAAACTGTACTATATGGACACTATATGGCTGAAACTGGACACCCCTGCTTTTGGTTTTTGTCTGGGTTACATGTTTTGGCCTCAGCCCCTTGGTTCCAGTTAAATGAAATCTTGATGCTGCAGCTTACAATGATATTTTAGACCACTGCTCCCAACCCCCAGGTCATGGTTTAATGATAATTGGACCCTTGTTTTGATAAATGGTCCAATCACTTTACACTATTCCAGTGATCCACCCCTGGCAGTTATGTGTCCTGAAATGCAACACTTTGCTAAAAAAGTAGTACAGTATAAGCAGTATAATAAACACTTATGTAAACAATGCAGGACTGAAAACATTTTTTAAAAAATCTGTTTTTCAAACTTTTTGTGAGAAAGAAAGTGTATTCAATGTGTTTGTTAGACCTCAAGGATACACACAATGTGTTTTAGTGAGTATCACTGAATATTTGTTTACAAGAAAACTCCACAGCCACCTTTAAAGTTAGTTTCAGTTTAGTTTCATTTAGATCCTCGTCCATTTTCCGCTCTTTTATTTCTCTCTTTCTGTCATTTTCCAACTTGGTATCAAGGCCAGTCTGCAATGACACTGTCAGAATAAAAACAGTCTACAGAGTAAAAAAGGTTGGGAACCCCTGCTTTAGACAGTGTGCCTACAACTTTGTGGCAGCACTTTGGACAAGCTCCTTTCCTGTTTCGACATGACGATGCCTCCATGTATGAAGCTAGCTCCAAAAAGAAATGCTTTTCTGAGTTTGGTGAGATGAACTCATGATCAGAGTTGGACCTCGCTGATGCTCTTGTGACTGAATGGGAGCAAACGTCTGCAGCCAGGCTCCAGAATATTGTGTAAAACCTTCCTGGAAGAACCGAGGCTGTTGTAGCAGCAGAAGAATGCCCACGGGTTTGGAATGATGTGTTCAATAATCACATGTGTAATGTTTTGGAAGTCAACATGCTTTTGGCAATGCAGTGAGCACACTATCCTCGTGTTTGATCGCTACAAAAACTTCACTTTCCTCCCCTGAATGTTGCAGTAATGAAAACAAGACAGTGAGCAGGACACGACCACATTAAAGCTTTGTTGCCAGTAATAGAAACAGGATGTCAAGTACACACTGTAACTTTGTACGCTGCCACGTGAAAGTGAATATTATACGTTTTCTACACCAAGATATCCCATAATTATCATAATCATTCACTGTGCTGAGTGAAACAAGAATAGGAAATACAGCTGGGATCCACATGGTAAGAAATATCCAGAATGGAAAAGCGATGTTGATTTGACTGAAAATTAAAAGGAGCTGAAACAACGTGTGATGTTAAATTAGAACAAATGACCCAAAACAACATCTTTGTAAAAGTAGAGCTGCAAACTAAAAATGTATCTGAATATATTTTGATAAAATTTAAGTCATTTTTAAGCATAAATGCCAAACTATCTGGTTCCAGCTTCTCCACTATGAAGACTTAACTGATTTTCTCATTTGTTTTCAATCACTGTAAACTGAATCTCTTTTGGTTTTGGACTGTTGGTCGCACAAAACAAAGCATTTGATGACGCCACCAAAGCTAATGGGAAATTGTGACAGGCGCGTTTCACTATTTTCCAAAATTTATAAGACAAGAAGATCATTCAATTAATCGAGAAAACAATAAGCAGATTGATAATAAAAATAGTTGCAGCACTTAAGAGAAAACATTCACATGCCAGAAATATAACTCCATAGTAATTTGTGTTTAGTCAAAACACATAGCCAGCAGCACTTTTACCTCTAATAGCACTCTGTGAACTTTCTTCAGGAAGTCCTCGTTTGTCTCGTAGTTTGGCACCAGCTCACCCGGCAGGTCTTGCCGATGACCCAGCTATAGAGAAAAAATGGACAAGAGCAAGAATTCAAACTGCACCACTGAACCTTCAGAGATAAGCAGGAGGCTCTCAAATGGACGTTACTGGTTGAAATCCTTAAACTGAATTGGAAAATTGAGAGTGAATTTCTTTAATGGGAAGAAATGCACACAGTGATCTGAAACCCAGCATGTCAGCAATGAGTAGTGGATGCTTATTGTTGACACGAAGTGAAGTCTGGTTCTATGAAGGTTTATAATGAGAAAAAATCAAAGTAGCATATCATATCACACTGGCACACAGTCTCTGGTGCAGTCAGACTCACCTCCTCTGCAGCCTGGACAAGAGCACCCCACTCCAGTTTGGGAATCATCCGGCTCACAAACTGAGAGTTGAATTCCACTTCATTCACCTTCACCTCAGTTGCCTGTGCAAAAAAAAAAATGAAATAAATAAAAATAGAAAAACACAACTTTGTAGCATCAACATTCAGAGTCCAAAAAAAGGATCTTGTCCCCTTCAGACATTTATATAGTGGGATTAAAATGTGATAATATGATATTTGGGCGAGTCAGGAACTGATATTTTGCAACTTTAAAATTGAAATTCATGCAAACATCAGTTCTCAGAGATCTATGTTGGTATAGGCAAGAGACAACTAAAAAGATGAGACATTTGGAGCAAAGGTCGATAACTCTTGTCACATTATATCAGGACAAAGTTATGGCACAGGGTAAGAAATGCATTATCATACATTAGCTGCTGGCGAAAGAGCAATCCCACACAAACAGCTGCAAACAAACTGTCAAGCGAGAAGACTGATTTGCAATTGTCAGTGGAATCACATGTATGAAGTACCTGATCTTTACCATAAGACTTGAGCAGGATATACACTCACCACTTTATTAGTAACACTTTTAATCTTCATTGAGGTACTGTACAATTATTGTCAACACAACAAATGTCAATAGAAAATGCGACACACTTAGGATAACTGCACCCATTTCTGTGCCCGACGATACACAGCACGCAGCTTTAATACCATAAGATGTCATGTAAAAGTAAGCAGTGTTAGCAGTGATGCTAGCCAGGTGTGTTCGGTTTACCTTGATGAGCAGCGGGAAACCTTTGGTGACTCCCTTCACGTGAGACGTCAACATGTTGTGTGTTAGCAGCTTCATGTTTACAGTGGTAAAAGTACAGAGACAATCACGGTTTAGCCTTATCTACATGTAAGTCACGCCGTAGCGTTTACATGCGGACCGGAAGTGCCGCTGTTGCGTCGTTAAATAGTTCCCTGTCGCTCTGGCCTCATCACCGTTGGTTCCTAGGTTACAGCGAAATTTAAATATCGATGTCACTTTATAGGAGTCTCTGGAAATACTGACGTAAAGCACAAGGACCACTAAACTGTATTAGTAAATGTACTTGGTTACAATCCACCACTAACAATAACAAAATATGTTGATTTGTATTAATTGTGTTGATTAACATAAAAAAATATCAGGCAAAGACAGTGTTCAGTTTTTATACCAAATTTTTTATTTTTTGTATTAATTTTGTATACTCCTTGTCTTTGTAATATACAGGTCATTCATACAGTTTATGATATAGTAAATAGTAATTACACACAAGAGGTGTAACAAGCAACAGCCTGACAACCTCACAGACATGCATCATGCGCGCACACAAACACACACTCTCTCATTCACATACACACACACACATACAAACACAGAGGGACACATATCCCTTACACTTATTAAACAAAAAAGATAAAAATGTAAAACTTTTTTAAAATCACAAACCCCTAATTATTCTTCCTCCATTATCACCAGATTTCCATCATCTCAACTCTTGTTTTGAAAATGAGACAATATTTATGTTTCAACAAAATAAAAAAACAAACAAACAAAAAACAAATAAAGAAACTTAAAAAATGCAAGAAGGCTACTAAAGAAAAGGGCAAAGCAATTCTGAGGAGAGAGTAGGTTAATTCAGATCGCAGGCTCTGGTCCTAAACTCCTCATGGGAACAGAAGCACAAAAGAGCTGCGATATAGGTAAAAGAGCCATTGAATGACATCAATTTGTAAAACAATTAACAATTCAAATCCAACTCGACTTTGTGAAGCTTTAACAGAATCCAATGTGCTACAGAATTTAGAGACTTCATGTGACCTGGTGTTTTATTCAGTTAGTATCAATATGAGCCAGTGTATGTTATATTTGTATTAGAGAGGGTACAGGATTGAGGAAGGCAACAAACAAACTAGTCAAAAAGGGCACTCTGCAAGGTTTATGGCACAAATAACAGCACTGAGAGTAGTGGGCGCGTAGTGGGGCTAAACCTGAACCAGTCACACAGCGTGGCTTTGTGAAATCAGGGTGAAAGCCCTTTGCCAACATCTGGAGGGTGTTAGCAAAGGACACTTGATTGATGTATCCTCCTTGTCTCCTCTATGAGCATCACTGAACAACAAGTAGACCAAAGCTTAGGTCACAGTACTCGTCGATTCATCACATGCTGCAGCCAAAAACGTGAACTGATATTAAAATTTTACGTGAGATTTCTGACATAAGACATCACCTACTTCCAAGGTTCATGAAATAATCTGACAAAGACCAAAAGCTGAAACATGATGGTCTTACAATACAGTTGTTCTTTATACTGTTGCTAAGTGCTGCTGGAGTTGTGATACCCTAAGACTTTTTTGCTTCCACATGAAGTAGGTAAACTTACATCAAAATCCCTATTTTAAATTAGAATACAAACAGGTTAAAGCAGAAAAAGTCAGAGTACATGAAATGCCCACATTCTGCATCTTTCTTACGAACAATGAAAACCTTGAGAGTGATAATCCTTCCTTTGAAAAGAAAATGAAGCCGGTTGAGAGTGATGGTGATATGTTAGCACAGACAGCACAGAAAATCTGCAGACTAGCATATTACTGAGAGGAGGAATATGAAGAGAGCTCCTGCTGAATGCAGAACAGAAGAATTAAATCTAGTATGTCCATGTATGATGGAGCCGCATAAAACACTGGATGTCAGTAACTGCAGTAGTAGTAGTTAGTTGTTGCTTCGTTTTTGCATTGGAGCAAGCTGACACATTAGTCCATACACACATGCAAATACACATTCAAACCCCGGATTCGCTCCCCTAGCTGAGACTTTCCCAAATCATAATTTCACACACACACACACACACACACACACACACACACTCTCTCTCTCTCTCTCTCTCTCTCTCTCTCTCTCTCACACAGACACAAAAAGCCGTCATCATTCTTGGCCGTCCTCCGTGCGCCACTTCAGGAAATCCTCCTTTCGGGCATCTGGTTTGATCTGGTTCCTCATACCACCAAGCAGATTGGAGGTGGCTTCAGAGGCCACTATCAAGGGTCGAACTACGGTGGGTGGGATCTGCCGCAGGACACCGCCCACAGCACCAGGCAGACCCTTCTGTTCGTGGCCGCGGGATGCTACATCGCACAGAGTCTGAGCTGTGTCAATCACTCCCTGGAGGAGCAAACAGAATGAACATCACACACAGATTAGAAACCTGGTTATGTGTGGCAGAGAGCTTTTCTTCAAGAGAAATCTGGCTGCAGAAATCTGGTTTCTCTATTTCCCCATCCTGATTATGTAAACTGGGTTTTACATATGAGATTACCGCAGGAAGGCGACAGCACAGTTACTACAAGAATGTGAAAAAGTGACTGAGCTTAGGTTAAGTTTGGGCACGCACCTCTCTGACAGTGTCGTAGGCCTTGGCCACACCTTCTCGGAGGTCTGCAGGCTGGGCGGCTCTGCGGGGCCGGCTGGAAGGGGCCCGGCCCTCAGTGATGGCATAGCGATTCAGGGGAGGCGTTGGAGAAAGGATGTCATACACTGTTTCTGCTGTGGCCTGTAAAAATAGCAGAAAGAAACCACAAGTTAGTTTTCCTTATTCAAATCAAGAGTCTAAGGATAGAGTATGTTGTGTAGATTGTAAAGAGCTTTGAGGCTAATTTGTTATTTTGGGCTATATAAATAAAACTGACCTAACAAACACCTGAGGCCCTGTTTATTCTGATATCCTTCAACAACAAGTGTCCATGCAGTTGGACACAAAAAAAATTCCCGAGCATTTCTCAACCTCATATCTTCATTGAGTTAAATTGCTTTGTAACAGACGTTTTTCCTCTTTTGCAGAGAAAAATTTATTCCCAAAATGGCCCTTATGACAGCCATGTAATACATCTTTTATTCACAGTCACCAGTCTTAAACTACAGTGAAAAACCTTCCCAGACTCAGTACCTGTATGGCCTGCACCAGCCTGTTGCTGAGCTCCAGAGCAGCTGAAGCTGTTGAAGTGCCGAAGGACGCTGCCCCTCTCTGGAGACCTCGAATAATGCGTCCATCTTTCCTGTACTGCTCGATGGGCAACCAGAACAGATCCCTCACTCCATGGACTGGAGAAACACAGAGACGGGAAAGAGGGGATAAATGAGAGTGAAACAGAATAAAGAACATGTACATGTTAAGATGACAGTGTGTGTGCACAAGCAGTATCAACTCACACAGCTGGACAACCGAGTGCATGGGGCCAACACCTCCCAGAATGCCTGGCAGCTGATTCTTCCTGATGTCGGTCAGCCACTCTGTGACAGCGTACTGGATCACTTTGTCTACACCGAGGAGACTAGGGAGTGTTGCAGAAGAGAGAGTGAGAGACAAACAACTGAAGACTCTACTGGTATACTTTTCAAACATAAAGATCTGCTCTCAAAAGGTCACAAACTACAGAACACTGATGTGGGGTAGTTGCAAATTAGAGAGTCTCTCAGATAACAGTAATGTATCCACTGTAATGTAACGTAATGTTTGTTTTTCTACCCGTGTCTGCAGCACAGCCTCTTTAGCTTCAGCTCAGAACAGTTTAACTGGGCCAGGCCGATCAGAATCCCTGCAAACGTTCCCTGTGAAACAAAGAGCAGGATGGAGGGAAGGTGTGAAAGTACCGTCAGCTTGGACAATTACTTCCTGATCGAACACGCACGAGTCCTACAGATTTCTTTTTGATAAGCTTTTGGTCAGGCCAGGTGACAGATGAACTGTCTCACCTGTTCAATGACGACATGTTTGCCTTGATAGTCCAGCCAGATAGGCACTTCAGAGGTGAAACGAAACTCCCTGAAAAGGACAGAGGGACAGAATAGAGAAATTATCAATCAATAACTCTTTATTCATCTTAGACTAGCTGGCAAAGTGCACCCACTCTTATTTTAGCAATGTTCTGCTTTCCTTGTAGGTTACAGTTTACACATATTTGAACTTGTTGAACACAAGTGTCTTCACAACACAGAAAAACCTCCTTCTCCTTTGATTGCAACGCTCTCGATGCCTCCTGTTGAATTACTGTCAACATGTCAACATACCGGAAGTAGATTGGCTGGTCAGAGGAAGAGGTGGAGCCGGCAGAGGAGGAGCTTTGCTCGCTGTAGGTAGTTTCCACAGAAGCTGTGAGGTCAGGTCCCAGACCAGCAGCTGCCTCTGTCTCCTCAGACGCCTTCTGGGAGGGGTCTGCCTTCACTGAAAATAATAAAATGGAGACAGATATAGAAAAATACATATTTACCATTGTGTGTCTAAAAATAAATATATAAGAAATGTTAAACATGCTCAAAATTAGTTCAACTCCACAAAAGGTAGTTTAACAAATGAGAGAAGTCTACGTGATGGATCTTGTATAAAATCTTAATATTTATGTCAAACCCCTTCACATTAAGTATGAAAGACAACTGATGAAATATGCAGCAAAGAACAAAAAAATCATCACCAGACATATGTAGCTCACCTTCAGTTGCAGGGTCCACAGGCAGGTAAGGGTTAACAGAGGAAGCTAGATTACTGAAGAAGTCCTTCAGGAAGAAAAGTGCATCCTGAAAAGGAGATGTGGAAAAACAGGCTGGTTAGAGTGATCAATAAGCCACAAAAATTCTGTGATGTGTCAAAAAGCTTTTCTAGGCAGATCACAAAGACAAAGTTAAATTACTCTTGGCTTTGAGTTGCCTGTTGCCAAACTGCTGTAAGTTAAAATGTTTTTCATTTGTAATCAATTGCAAATGAAAATCAAGAATAATTCTAATGTTTTCTCTAATCTAGTTCTCTAATCTCAGTTCTAATGCTGGCAAACATAGCTGTTGTTTCTCCTAGGCCTGAAGCATTCACACAACAGCTTTGAATAAAAGTCACATCAGAGAACCAGGGTCAGTTTCTTCATTTTCTACACAGTGCAGATCTGAAGACTCTACTCTGAGACCGGGATTGAGTTTGGATGCACACAATTACACAGTTACTGTTAGTGTTCGGTTTCTGCTGCTGGAGTTACCTGGTCAATGTTCAGGCGTAACGGCAACAGGCTGACACGAAGACAGCACTCTGGACCACCTAGGCCAGACTCCGGACACACCTGCAGGGCCTTCACTGTCAGCTATAAAAAGAAAACACACAGTCAATGTCATCTTCATCACATCTTTCATTTCAGTAGCTTCTAAATCAAAGAGTCCCTCTGTCTGTCCATCCCCTGCCTCTCTGCTGCCTCACCATGTTGGAGTGGGCTCGGCGGGGCATGCTCTCGCTGGTGTAGAGGTAGAGGAATTTGTTGATTTGCGAGGAGGCCAGTCGGTCTCGAACCTCCAACTCCTGGACGATGAACACCTGCCTGGAGAGGGGCTGCTCGCCACTGGGACCAACTCCGACCACAGCTGCCATTGACCCCTCCCCATCCTGCCCCGCTACTACCACTGGATAGGACTCATGCTGGAAGGACACCTGGAGGATGTAACAGAAGGAATGTGTTGGGGAATGCGTTCCTATACTGCAAAATCAAATTTATGTTGAGGTAAACCAACTCATAATAACTCTTGAGTCTCAATCAATGTCAATACTGCAGAGTAAAAATATGTAGTGGAGTACAAGTATAAAGTAACATAGAATGGAAGCGGTTAAGTAAAGGGCATTTTCCGTCATGGGAACAGCACTTGACCAAGTTTGCTTATTATCATCCACCACTGTACCTTAGTGAGCTGGATCTCCATCAGCAGTGTGTGCTGACGCCCGCTGCCTCCTGCCCACCGCCAGGAGTTCTGAGGACGAGAGGAAGCGACGCAGCGAGATGGGGACCCACGAACACCAGCGGGGACTGAACGGCCTCTGCAGGGAGAAGAGGACAGAGAAAATAAAAGAGAGATGTAAAAGACTGAACAAATAATGGAATAATAACGTAAACCTAGTTGTGGCCCTGTGTGTGTGTGTTACCTGTTTGTCTGCTGGGCATGTATGGACATTGGCTTGCCGCCAAAGTCCTTGCCACCGTACAGATGCCAGACCACAGAGATCTCCCGCAGCACCACCCTGCTCTGGGGCACCGGGAAGCGGCTGGGGGCTCGGAGCAGGTCTGAGCTGCCTCGAGGCCTCGAGAAGTGACTGTCCTTCACTTTGATGGGACCCTGGGACAACACCGTCACCACAGGCTCCCCGTCCCTGGGCTGTAACAAAACCAACATATGGAGATTTTTGTAAAAAATCTGAGACGGAGTTTTGCTATGTGGCTAATGGGGAAGAAGAGGTTCGTAAGACAGACAAAAGAGGATAATAAAAGTAAGTAGAGAGACTCACAGGAATACCCATGCCAGGAGCTTCCAGGATGCAGAAGTCATCGTTGTCCGTGGAGCCCTCCGAGCCTTCCTCTGACATCATATCTGCCTGAGCCTCTGTTGCTGTGGCAACCAGTCCATCAAGCTCAGAGTCCTCCCCCTGCAAGACGGAGGGGCTGCGTTTCGGGGCTTCACCAGGGAACAGGTAGACGGAGACAGGCGAGCCTCTTGCCATGGAGGGTGAACCTGGAGAATCCAACAAAGTCCAGCATTGTGCAAAGAACTGTGGGCCAACCAAGCTGGTACTGTAAAAACCCTCCACCCTTTTCTGCAGCGACTAAAAGCCTCCTGAGCAGGTGTATGCATACAGTTGTAAATTACACTTCTTGTCTTACATCATAACTTATTGTGTTAGTTGGAAAAGAAAACTAAAGAATCGTACACACTGTCTATCACTTTAACTCACTTTATTAACACAGCAATTTGTTCCTAAGACCTTCACCAGGCAAAATCCACACAGGCCTCAACATACATTTAAAGGGTAAAAGGGCTCTGAAGGCAATCTCCTAAAGACAAGAGAATACATAGTGTAACATGGGAGTGATTTGTAAAAAAGTGTTCTTTTATTTAATGTCTCTAGAGGGCTTTACTGGCAGATATGTGTGTTTACCATTGTATGATCTCAGTGTCATGTTTTTCTTAATTTGAATGCATGGTGGGATTTGTTGCCGGTGTCCTCTGGTGGGCAGGTGAAAGTCTGCAGCCTTTAACATACATGGTACTGTTTGTCTTTATGAATTTTGCCTGATGAAAGTCTGAGGACTGAGACATTGTGTTAATGAAGTGAGTTCAACTGATGAACAGTGCACAGGATTCTTTGGCTGGTGCAATTGCAACCAATTTTGTTGTGTTAGTGAAATCTGGCAAACCAGGGGCTGAGTTTCATGTTTTTTTCCTGAATTCAGTTCAATGTGTGACAATATATTCCTCTGTCAAGCTTCAAGCATCATGTATGGAAATCAATTCAAATCAACCAGCCCACAGTCCTCTTCCTATACACAAGGACACTTGTCGTCATCACAGGATTGAACCGTGTTCTGTTCTCATGAGACAAACTCTGCCCTACCTGGGTCTAAACTTTCTTCTCGATGGCTCTTCTCTGTGTCAATTAAGGCATCAGCCAGATCGTACTGGTTGATCTCAGCGGTTTCAGCTGGAGGGCACGGCAGCAGAGAGGCAGGACTTTCTGACAACTAACAAGACAAGGCAAGACAATTTTATGGCATGTTTATACCAAATATGTTCATATATTATCGCAGTTTCATCTGAAATTGATCATCCATTCACTTTTACTTATCTAGGAAATTATTTGCAGGAGTCTTTATACTCTTCAGGCTGACTCGTCTAATAAATGAAGTTCATTTAAGTCACATTGAGTAAGAGAATCCACTTAATGCATAACATTTAAGTTGTATTTTATATGTATATGAGTAAATGGAGTGGCACTGACTTAACACAAAACCATTATTATATTCTTATCCATCCATTATCTTTATTCTCTAGTGAATACACGGCCCTTACTGGTAATTTCTGGCCAGCGATTTCAGTGGGTGAGGCGTGTCGCGGCGGGGGGTGTAGGTCACCCTGGGAGACCAGGTACTGCAGCAGATTGACAAGGGCAGCGCAGGAATCAGCACAGGTGTGCAGGTGGACCACATTGTTGGAGCAACGGAGCTCAAAGAGAGGCTGGGACTGGAGGAGACAGAGAAGTCAGAGAAGATTTATAGGCAGACACAGGAAAGAGGAAAGGTGGTGACAGAGAGTGAGGGAATAAGAGGAGGGAGAACGGGAGGAGACAAATATCACAAAAAAATATAAACCGATCGATATTCAATCAAATCCTAATCAAATCATGCAGCTACTGCAGGTTTCTTTTTATGCATTTGTTCATTTGCTCATTTGTTTTCCTCTTTTACCATGCAATATATCAAATGCTGATCAAATCTGTGTAAATCAAAGATTCTTGAAAGGTAATTTTTACACAAACAAATCAGAGTGAAACAGTAAACAGATTGCGAGCACTCACAAGTTTGCCTGTATCATTGCCTTTCCATGTGGTGATGGCGAGCTCCAGCAGGTCGATGTCCAGAATACACACATAATCTATGTGAGACAGAGACACATGATGGTTTTCATTAGACTAGTCAGTAATCAATCAATAATTCAGGCTTGAAACATTGTAACAAATATTATTGTTACTATTGTATAATTGTACAATTCGGCAGCACACACACGTGTATCATGTGTCTTACCTCTCCTCAAGTCAACGATGTCAGTCTCACATTTGTCAGAGAGGTAGAGAGCAGAGTCATCCAGGATGAATCTGACCACGGCGTAACAAAAACACATTTTAAACCAGGTTCTCACTCTGCAAGTCACCAGTTCATTTAATGTCATATAATCTGACAACATTTCAGACATCATTTTATTTACTGTGCTGATTATCATTCCAAAAATATTTTCAGTAAGTGTTTTATTCACACGGACAGCTGGTGGTGAACTGTACCTAAGGTGGAAGGTGGCAGTGTCTACGATGATATTACTGGACAGAGAGAAGGACTCCGCTGTGAACAACACTCGTAGTGGCAGATACAGAGGTCTGGCAAACAGAATTGCAGAAGATGAGGGTGAAAAAAATATAAGAGAAAGGCATCATTTACACTTGCATTTTAAATCTAAATCACTTTCTCAGGTGCATACCTGTAGTCGACGGCACAGGTAACGAGGTGTGTGTGGAGGACAGTGATGACGGCAGGTGCTGTGTAGCCCAGAATGGGATCATCAATAACATCCAGGAAGTCAACCAGCTGCAACAAAATGACACAGACAGACTCACTTGGCAGGTGATACAGAAAGTCAAACATTTTCAATTCATCCACCTAATTTGATTTCAACAACGAGAGTGGTTCACATTTGTCGGAATAACCCAATTGGTATAACTGGAAAATAAAACAAGCCAAATTGCATTTGATGTAATGAGAGCATAGGTCTGCAGGTCTATTTGGTTTTGCAATTACTCATATAAAATCATACTTTACTAAAATGTAATAGTATATACTTATTATCTTCGGGAGCAAGAAAAGTTGAGTTGTTGGGCTGGTGATTTAATACCGGTGGGTCCTGTGAGGAAAGAGCTACCAGCACGGACAGGATGATGTTTCTGGCCAAGTCATCTGTGTCCTAGGATTTTTCTTTAATGTTTTTTATTGTCTGGATGGAAAGATCTGCAGACATTATTCTGCTCTGTATAATCACTCTGTGATATCTGATTGACTTCTGAGTTATTCTGTCATTAACTGTAATTTACCCTTTTTTGTGTCCCCACTTTCTCAAAAGCTGCTACATCTACATGAGTGATTTACAACTCCTCTAAAATCACCTTCAACTCCCCTAAAGCAAGCGCCTGAATGACAGTTTATGTAGTTGGAAAAAATGTTGGAATATCATAAGCAATAGCACAATGAAGATTTTCTAGTTTTCTAGAAATCGGTATCTCCGTCTCCCTCTTTCTGCACTCCACATCTTTTCACATTTTCCAAATGTCTATTTCTGTATGAATGTGGAATGTCAAAAATGTTTGTCTAGAGAGAGAAAAAGCCATTTTCTAACTCTTAACACTAGATCCTTAAATCTGTCATTTCTCTGCTGAAAAATGGCTCAGCGGTTTCCCTGCACTGTAGTTGTTCTCCAGACATTCGATGCATTATCGCACTTTCACATTAGGCAAGTAAAGTGTGCAGTAAGCAAAAACAACTCAAAATGCCTAGAAATTAAATGATAAAAATACCAAAAGAATACAACTGTTTTTACAACTGTTTTTAGTGCTTTCGAGGTCAAGGTAGAATTTTATTGTCATTCTGTCAATATAAAATACTCAGTATACATGGGAACAAAACTGTGTTCCTTAAGTGATTCAGTGTACAAAGACAGTAAAGTGCAAGTAGAATGAAACTGATGTACTTTTAAAAAAGAAAATTGCAAGACAAGAAAATACAAAGAAGACTCTATGATCTGTAACACGACTTGTTTTTAGCTTCTTTGTGCTGCTTCTCACCTGCTCGTGCCAGCTCTGATTGGACTGCGTCATGTAATGTCGCATTGTAGCACCTTGAAGTCGAAGGGCGACTAGGAACTCCTGCGAGGAGGCGCAGAAACAAATATTAATTCATTATAAACTTGCACCAACACCAGAACCGGATGCATGAGGAGGACGTACCTTGACATTCCTCTGGAGGTCCAGTGTGATTTTGATGGCTGTAGATAACATCTGTAGCTCCCCCTCCCTGCCGCTCACGCTGCTCACACCCACCTCTGTGGGGTAGATGGTGGGGTCCAAATGTTTTGGTGGAGTGAAGCTGGGCATCTCCAACCGTTGTGGGATGGGGGTGTCTTTCACCACCGCTGCAGCGGTGTGGAGATGACCAGAAAGATACATTAACATTTTCTACTTGGCATTAGATCTACTTCAACATAATTTGAAAAGGAGAATATGAATTACGTTGCGATTAAATGTTTGCAAACAACAAGACAATGTGAACCTCGGTGGTAGAGCTCCACTCGTCTGCTCTCCAGACACAAAAAATTGAGATTAGGGTCGTTCTGGTGCTGCGCCACGCTGAATATCTTCCCTCCTTCCAAGTCGAGCACAATCTCCCCATGACTCTCGTCCTCCTGAATCAATGAAATGCAGTGGAAATGGTTAAGAAAAACAGAAATGATTTGATAACAACGGACACAGGAACAAAAATTTTAGATTTGACTAAGCAACCTGACAAAACAAACAACATGCTCAAGAGCTGATGCAGTTAAACTCATCAGAGCCCTCTTTAAATTCTGCGTCCTCCTAATATTATGGTTAGCAACCACCTGGCACACCTTCTTGTCTGTTCTGGCTTGGAGGCGTCCTTTGCCAATAATCACAGTGAGGGAGAGGAGGCTGAGGTTGTGGTTTGGGCGAAGAGCTGACTGTTGTGTCCTTCCAGATGATTCGCTGGCCAAAAAGAACTGAGGATCGTCCTCTTCTGAATCAGAGTCTACGGCACAGATTGCGAGAAAACAGAGGAAAAAAATACATTATCTGTTCATCTGGAGGGACAAACCTCGTCCACAGACAAATAAAATATCAAACTTGTGTATGTATGGGAAGTTATAATTATGTCTAATAGATCTACATGTCAGACTCACCCAATCTAAAGGCTGACTTGCAGAGCTGGAACTCATCGTGACGATGGCGGCCTTGATCGGGGCTGTGGGCCGAGGGGGGAGGAGGGGGAGGCGGCTCCCACATCAACAGATCATTGTTGATCCTTTTGGAGAAAGAGGTGGGTGAAGAAAATTAAACATTACTTCTGATGCAGTATTTAAGACCAATATAATAACAAGGACACCACTACTATGCATTTTGTAACTTGACCCCGAGTGAACTTAGAGAACAATACAATCTTGTACAGTGAAAAAGATCTAAACTTATTTTCTTTAAATTTAAGTAATTCTACTGAAGATAATTTAACTTGTGGGGGGATTCCTGGATACTGTGAGGACAGCACTCACATTTACTCTACTCTTGACATACCTGTTGTAGACGCTCTGGAAGGCCTGTTTGCTGGGCAGGAGGATGTAGGCCAGTGGCAGGCTGATGTCCACAGCACACTGACACTGAGCGACGCACTGCGCCTGAAACTGACGCATCTCCTCCGGGTCGGCTGGTATCACCATCTAAAACAAGAAAGGAGGAAAGGGGAGGAGGAATGAGTTAGGTCGGGAAGGTCGATAAGACAGCTGATAAATGCGATGTGCCATTTTTTTTTTCTGTGTGTCAACACGCCTCCTCAGTCTCAAACATGGTGCGGTTGGAGGAGAACGGCGAGCTGGTTTTGTTGTTGAGTTCACAGTGACTTTCAAAGAAGGCAGATCCCAGGTCGCCGATGAGGCCCAGGTTCATCCCACTCAGACCTGCTGCTGGGCCCTGAGCCTCACCTCCACGCACATGCACTGATATCCTGTTCACAGAAACATGAGGACAGATTGATTGTGAAAGGTGATACTGGTTTGTAGTAGATTATATTATAACAATATTATCCGTCTGATTTCATGAGCAAGAATTATTCAATTTAGAAGCAGAAACTCCAACTTTATCTTGGGGAGCATCAGATTATAGCATGTAGCTCAACAGCTAAAAATGTTTTCATGAAATATGTATCTAATTATTCTCATGATCACCACTACTGACCTGGGCAGAGAATCACAGTTCTTCTTCACTCTGATACAGGGGAAAGAGCCGCCCTCCCAGCCCTCATACGACCCTGGTGAGACACAACACCTCAGTTCTCTACGCCACATTTCAAATTAGGTCCCTGATGCATAATTTTTTAATTCTAATTTCAGTTCTTACATTATTAAGGGGAAATAAAGTAATGTGTTACTGAATTGCGATCTAAATTTCCACAGGGCAGGACTACATGCAACAGCAAAGTGTAACAGAGCTACAGTCAGTCTTACATATCAAGCCCTTTAGATACATTTTCCACCACTTCTATGAGCGGCTCATAATAAAACTAAATATTAATGGCAACACATTAACAAAAACAAGGGTTTTGTTGTCATCAGCTGAAATCTACGTTGAGCCGTTGGCATTGGTCGGTATACTGTGTGTCTGTCAGTAAAAACAACAGTAATGTATATACGAGTGTGTTCCCACCGTGCAGGTCGCTGAAGGAGGCCTCCAGCAGCTGGGTGAGGCAGGGAGCCCATGGCTGTCCTGGGGCGGTCTGGCCGCCCTGGAGGTCTGGGGCCTCCTGGTGCTTCAGTTCCAGCTCCATCAACTCCAGCACCAAGGTCTCCTGCCGCACCGCCCTCTGAGTTGGAGGCCGGCGCTTAGGGAGGGGCCGCAGGTCGGGTATGGGGAAGCGAAGCTTGAGGATGGCGTGTGGGGAGAGGAGGGTGAAGGAGGAGCACAGCTCACTGCTCTGGGTCTGAGAGGAAAGACAGTGAGAAATCTCTTAGTATTTATTTATCAACAGAAAGTTAGCTGAACATGGATTTGAGGAGTTACAGACAGTCACACCTGTAATTAGCGTTGACCAGTGAGTAGCTTGACTAAGAGCTTAAGGCCAATTAGAAGACTACCGAGAAAGTGCTTATTTACCCTTATGCCTGGCAGTTTTCTTCATGGTTGCGTCAGCAAAAATATGATCAGTCAGACATGACGGGATTACCTTCTCAAGCTTTTTCCAAAAAGCTTTGTCTATGTTTGGTGTCCTATTGTCATGCTGATGTAAAAATCCATGACTCTGCATAACCAAACAGGATTACTTCAACGTTTTACTGCTAAGCTATGAGCAGTCTGGGTTATTCTACAGATGGGCTGCTGTACAGAAGAAAAGCTCAAAACCATAATTAAGTACCATCAGTGAACAGCATACAAAACACAATCTGGTAAATCTACTGTATGTAGTTAGATAAATATGCTGGACAAATTACAAACTCTTGGAGAGAGCAGGTCATTGTTCAGTTTGGTCATCTTGGTGTGGTTTTGATTACAAATAAATATTGTGTTCTACCCCAAATTAAGATAATAATTCTGCTTGAATTAGGCACATGTATTTCCACCATTATTATCCATGACAAAGCAGGTGTAATAACATGTCAGTTGATTTCCTCTGTGCGCCATGTTTTGTGACATGACTGTTACCTTGGTTACTAATCATGGTTTCAGGTGAATTGGGGTTTACATTTTTAGGGCTCTTTGTATATTTTTCTTTGATGATGGGATGAGTGTCTGTGGGGTTGCACCTGTGTGAGTCCAGGTCCAGCAGTCTGTGTGGGGCAGTGGCTGAAGGCTTTGCTCAGGCTCCCCAGGCGACTGAGGATGTCCAGGTCCAGCTCTGCACTCAGCTCTGCCAGCTCCACTCGCACCACACTGTCCCGCCGCACGACCCGCTGTTTACCCTGGCAACACACAAACATGCACACACGACATGTCTCAAAGACTAATGTATCCATTTTCTGATAAATTATTGTTATCATATTGCCACCCAGTTGCTTACTGTTCAGACTCTACTATGATACAGTTTGTTAAATTACAGATTTTTTTTGTAGAACTTATCAATATTACACTAAGGGAAACATTTCAATGATAAATCTTTGTAATACATTTTATTAGATATAAGAGATTCAAGTTGGCATGAATATGCTTATGAGTTTTGGCATTGTCACAATCCAGGTTTTCAATGTTCAGTTTTACTGCTACCAAAGCGCGCGCGCGCGTGTGTGCGTGTGTGTGTGTGTGTGTGTGTGTGTGTGTGTGTGTGTGTGTATAAATGTGTACCTTACGCAGGTGTTTTTCACAGAGGCTGTAGTGTAGTTGGGCACACGGTCTGGCTGCTGCTCCAATTGTGAACAAACCAGATTTCTGGAACTGAAGCAACTGGAAAGAGACGGAGGGAAACATGTTGGACTATCAAGTCTTCCTTTTTAGCTTGGTAAGAGAACAACAAACATAAACTACTTTCAGCTGTGACAGCAGTATTCAGACACCTTACACCTTATGTGATCGCTTATCGCTGCTAATGCAATCACCATTGGCCCCACTGAAAATATAATGACCTAATGTGAACAGCCAGTCAGTTGAAAAGCTACATTATATTTTCTACCTCGCTGTACTGAGGCTTTCCGTCCTCCCAGAGGCACTCTAACAGCTCCATTCTGCTGAAGGAGAGGTCAGAGGTCACGGCTCGACTGTGGCGTCTCCCGCTCTTCATCTCAAAAGCAACCTGCACTGCTGCTCCTGTCAGTCTGGAAGAGAAGACAACAGAGAGAATTGGACACAAATTAGTCACTCTCACTCTCTAAGAGTAGACTGTACAAAGCCAAAACAACAGTGTTTGGCAAATTACATAATTTAAAGTGTTTTTAACTTTTCAGAAATGTACCGCATTCCCCTTTATATATTTCTTCTATATATTCTGCAGGCCCAAAATAAGTACCTTCAAACCTGCAACTGTTCTGCAAAAAGTCCACATGAATTATAATTCAGCAAGGACAAAATATATGTGTGTTTTTCTACCTGAGATGAGAGTGTGGGCAGGCCTTGGCAAAGCCACCTCTCAGATGGTGGAAGTCTCTCTCGCTGAACATGCTGTCTTTGAAGAAGGCCAACTCCCGGAAGAACACCTGAGACACCTGAGCCAATGACGAGGCTCCATCGAGGGTAGAGGGCAGGTCCTCCTGCAGCAGGGTTAGGGTGAGCCCGCCAAGCGTCACACGCAACAAAGCATCAGGCTTCAGCTGCTCTGCCTGGCCGCTGTGTGAGCGTCCTGCAGGGAAGAGGGTGAGAGTTCAGAGAGATCTGAGAATAGTTCAGTACTTTGCACTGCTGATAGCTCATTTTACCTCTGGTCCGGCTGCTGGCCTGCGGTAGACTTGACAGGCAGCCCGCTACAGGATATCGCCTGGGACAGTTCAACATGCCCTGACAGGGGAAGGTAAAGCGGAAATCAGATTGATAAGTACATTTACAGGCTCCAGTTCTGTGTTTGTTGTTGTTCTCTGTAAGTAAGTGAAGAAAGACGACAAATTAACATAACATTAATATTAAAAATACTAATATTATTCTTGGCAAAACTAGTACTAGATACCAATACTAATATTGACTCTCAAGGGCAATAAGCTTATTGTGCATGCTGTATCAGACATCTGCCAACAAACACACACAGGCTGTACCTGTGCAGTCAGTGCTGCAGGCTGCGTGAAGCTGGCTACACTGTGTGTAGAGGACTCCATATCACTGTCTGACATCTCGCTGCCGGAGCGCACAGACGTCACACTACTGCTCATCCCACCAGGACCCATAGAGTAAAACATTTCTGCACGCACACGCACACACGCGCACACGCACACACGCACGCACGCACACACACACACACACACACACGCACACACACACACACACACACACGCACACACACACACACACACACACGCACACACACACACACACACACACGCACACACACACACACACACACACAGACACAGACACAGACACACGTTATTTACTACAATGTACACAAACACTTTGTGGCAAGATTATTTTCAAAGTCATTTCCAGATCAGCAAACTCTTTTGTAAGTTTAATTAGCAATGTATTATAAGCATATGTTAATGCTATATATTGATTTATTATCCGAAGATTTTGTTTTACAATTAGAGCAACATTTTCCACCATCCAAAAGAAACCCCATTTGTTCAATTAATGAATGTTATTTTTGCTGTTTTCAACAGTGTCTTTAACTTATTAAAGTCTCACTTTGGAAGGAAACTCTTCATATGTATATTACACAGGAATAAGTCAGTGTCTGACATGATTAAAAACTACACTACACCTTCAGGAGCAGGCCGGGTATCTCAGACAGATATGTTATAAGTGAACCTTTGCAGCTCTGTATACCTCCATTCTCCAAACCGGTGACATAGGGTTCCAGGTCAGACTCCATATCCCACTCCCTGTCTCTGGGACTGGAGCCCAGCTGCTTACTAAGGTCCTCCTCAATCATACGCAGGTCGTCCGAGTCTAACGGGCGGCTGTGTATTCCACCACACTTGGTCTCTAGCTCTGGGGGAGAGAGGACAGAGAAATGGATTCATACATGCACAAAAGAGAACCAGACAGAAACCAAATTGTGTGACGTCATGTTTATGAGACATTTATAGATGTCTGTGACCTTATTGTCTGGTTCTGAACTACAGAGAAAACAGCACAGACTTCTTCAGGCTTACTATTAGTCTGCATTTCAATGTATCTGTGTCTGTGTATCTAAAGCTTGTGGACACACAATTACCTTGTGGTTCCTAGACACATAAGAAGTAATGAATAACCAGTGAATTTGTAGTCTGACTTTGAGTGCATGCAGGAATGTAAGTATTAGTACATTTTACTCATTATAACCACCAAGGATGGTGAAATTAGTATTTGTCCTTCCTCTTTCATTTAAAAGCAATTTAATTTGTGGACAGAAAATCACTATGAAGTCTAATGCCCATCTGATTATTTATAATGTTATCATAACGGGGCTCACTGTGACCTGACTATACCTTGACTGGTTTTTGCTTTCAGCTGACCAAATCGCCATCTTTTAAAATTACAGAGGCACATGACATAATCACCGTGATATATTAAACACATGTTGATAACAAGGATCAGAGGTTCAGTTTCAGACTCAAAATTTTCATGAAAATGTCATTAAACGTTGGGTTTTTCATCCGTGTTTGGATCTTGAGCGTTCAGTCACATGCGTTAAACTGAAAAAGCAGTAACCCTGCCTTTGCATTGTTTCATGTACAGTTTATCAATGTTTTAGTGTACCAGTGTCTATGCAGAGGGCTGCCAGCAGGTCTGTCAGATGGGTTATTTGATCTGGAGACAGCAGCATGTGGACACAGCCTACCTTCCCATCCAACTCCAACTGATGAACAGAGAGAAAGAGACAGGAAACACATGTCAATACAAGAGAACAGTTGCATTGTCTAAACCTTCAGTGTGTTACAATACACACACACACACACACACACACACACACACACACACACACACCTTTGGTCCAGGCAGCATGTCGTTCTGTTTGATCTTGACTATGGTCTCAATGAAACCGGAGCAGCTTCCTATGAGCAGTGGCTGAGATGGAGGACAGTGAGGGGCTGCCAGGGGCTTTGCCTGTTCCTCTTCCTCCTCATCTTCATCTTCCTCCTCCTCCTCCTCCTGCTCCTCCTCTCCTTCACTTGCTGCTGCTGAATCTTGTTGTTCCTCCTCAGGAGGACTCTGAGAAATGAAGTCAAATCTTTGAGCATTTTTGGTTATAGATCTACGTTACCTAAAAGATCACACTGGGGTTTTTGTCAGGATTGTTACTGTGGAACATTTCCTCCTCCTTCACTTATTTGCTGCCCATTTATTCATGTACGAAATGAAAGTCAGTTTTGAAGACAAAGAAGGACCACACCAGTATGTTCCACTAAGTTGACAAATTAACTCAAGCGTGTATTTTTATGTTGCCGCTGACAACCAATAAACTTGTTATTTCTGTTTGTTTCTGTTTGGCTGTGGCGCAGAATATTGTTGAAGCCTTTGGAGTTTTTACCCTCTTCTTTCTTTTCATCTCGACTTTTTAAATGTATTTTTTGTGGTTCCTTTACAATCATTCATAACATCATTAGTTATTGGGTGAGTAAGTAAACTGAATAAATGATACAGAACATTAAATTATTATTCATGTAAGATAAGTGTGATGGAAAAAGGTAAAAAAATAAACTAAATCAGACATAAAGATTAGTCATAAAGAATCCTTAGTAAGTCACTATGGTGTCCATCACCTGTACTGTGCCAGTGCTGTCATAAAACAGCTGAACAGCGCTCAGCTGGAGGATCTTGTGCAGGAAGGCAGGCGGCTGGTGGATGTCGACAGGCACGGCAGTCTGGCTAGCTGGATCTCGCACCGCCTCATCAAAGTACTCCAGCCTGGTGCGACACGTGCAAACAAACACACACATTATTTAGCGCTGTGACAAAAATGAAATTCAGAACATGTGGGAGAAAGTGTAAATATTAAGAACTGAAAAGAAAAGGGCTGCTGTTCCTCTGGTGCATATGATGAAGTAGCCAAATCTACATTGTGACAGCAAGAAAATTTGTTTATGGTAATATGATTTCCATTCGGAGAAAAAGTTCATAGTTACTCTGACACACAACAGAGAATTGTTCATGGAAATGATGCTATAGTTTTAAAATCAATATACCTTACAATGACGTACTTATCAGTACAAGCAGTACTTAATATTTTGTCTCTGTTTACTGACTCAAGGTCCGTTTCACTGAAGTACAATTACAGTATACTGCAAGTGCCATGATCTCAGCGAGACAACCGGAGCCAAAGCTTCCTGTTTAATAAACACTACCACTCTAACATGCCTCATGGGACTCAGATCAGTTGTTCTGTTAAAAATCAGGAGATTTGTTGAGACGACAGGGCCTTCTGGTTACTGACCCCAGATCAGGACAGCCATCCTGAGAAGCTTTGTCAATGAGCCAGGAAAACAAAAAGGGTTCAACAGAGTCACAGTAAAATGCCAACAGAGTCATGGAACATGTGGGACATACAAGGACATTGGTTTGGTTTCAAACGTGGGGGCATTGTATTCTAATCCTTCCTAAGATGATTTTAACTTCCTTTACTACAAAGAGTCCTGTGCTTTACTGTCTTTTTCTATGATGCTAAATTCTATGTATTTTTTAGCACAAAATAAACTGTAAATAAAAAAAAAGGATTCTATAATTCATTAAATCTGAAAAAAACCTCGGTCTGAAAACTATTTTTAACCCTGAGTGTTGTCGACAGGTTTTCCTTTCAGGCAACATAAACTCCCAACAACCCAACAATAAGGTGAGGCAGCCTGGATGTAGCATGAGAGATTAAACACAGGGCAAAAAGTATGAAAAGTCAACATTTAAACATTTTTTCAGGCTCGGGGTATAAAGTAAATACATTAAATGCAATAACAAACAAATAACAAGATTCATTTAAAATTTAAATTCCATCACACAACTATTAATATTAACATTTACTATTAGATAAACATTACATCAACATAAAATTAACATGTTTTGCTTAATGTGTAAATTTAACAACAATGAATGAATTCCATAGTCAAATGTCCTGCCGGCCTGTGCAGACAGCAGCTGCATACACCACTTCAGCTTGTGGGTTGCCCTGTTGTGGCAACAGATGGTATGAAATTGTATGTATATGTGTGGATTGTGTGTCCTGCTTGTGTTTCATATGCAATCTGGCAACTTGGACAACGTCAGACAAACATGCAAAACATATGGATCTGTGTATGACGATTATTTATAATAAAGATTGTGGGGCATGCAAGTTATGAGTTTCCCAGGAGAAACAAGAAAACGGGAGGGCACCAGGAAAGTACCTTGAAATACAAGGGACTACCGGGAGAAACAGGAGTGTTGGCAAGTGTGCAAATGTAGTACTAATAATATTCTCATGTGAGCAATAATAATATGTCATTTGATTGGGATTGAGCACTGCAGTTTCAAAATAGTGAAGATATTATGTCAACAATGCAGTAAAAGCAAAATCAACCATTAAAAACCATAATCGCTTTCAATAAATTATGGTTGCACACTTCATGATTATTATTTTATCTATAGTCATGCAACCAATGTAATCCCTAGTTGACCACAGCAACAGCGACTGTGTTTACATTACACTTATCCATCAATTTCATGCTCACAGACTCCCTGACATCCCACATTGATGTCACCTTAATTGCAGCCTGCAGTTATTTAAAAACCCTGTTCAGGTGAATGACTTTGTCAATACTGACCCTGTGTAAGCTTCACACTGAGGCTGTCTGACAACACAAGTCCAAGTAGTGCAAGTTCATAATGGAGCATGGGCCTCTGCTCTTATCTGCTGATGAGCAGAGAGAAGATGAAAACTAATTCTTGGCTTCCATCTGGCTTTCCCTCTCCCCTAACAGTAATATAAGTGCTGATGTTGTTGAGTTACAACATTACTGATCACAGACATACATTTAATTTATTTGTTATCAACTGTGTGATAAACTGTGACATATGGCAAATAAGAAGCTGTGGGAATAAAACTGGATAACTGTATTAATATATTAGAGGAGATGTAGAAAATGCTAACCACTATGTGTCAGGTCATTCTGTGTAGTTTGTTCTTTGCTTTTGTTGCCTGAAGTGCTTCAGTTCCACGTTGTGTTTCAGTTTGTATCTCCACCAACAAGGGCTACAGAGCATTTTTATGTCCTTATAACCACGGCCGATTTATAAGCACACTTGTTCACACATGTACTTTGACAATAATGATGCACTGATTTCAATACAGTAGACAAGATGTTGGATAATTTTAAGCCTCTTTGAGTTGAAACCACAACTACAACTTATACGTTTTTTGTTTTGATCAGGCCCAAAAAGACTAAATAAATAAACTGTTCACTTGAGGAATATGCCATAATTAAAGAAAACTAAAAACTATACCAGGAAGCCCATCCTGTTAAAGCTATAGCTGGTGTTAAAATTAGAGGGAAAATTACATGTTTAGTGGCTTTGCATGGACTATGTTCTTTTGTAGAAGAAATCATCCCGACTCATTTGAGCTGATCCTCTTCATATTTCTAGGGCAGTGTAATTATTTAAAAAGGCAACTCAGGTAGGATTTTCTATAAATATATTATTTCCAAATGAACCATAAAAGTGACCTTTGAAGTTGCATTTCTAAAAGCCCCATGAGCTGCTTTCTGTCACCATGTTTCAGTAACAATAGTAGCACCAGTAGTAGTTGTAGATGAAAATGAATTAGCTACAGTATATATAAATCATACACTTTCATACATAGAATTTTAAAAAATACGAAATAATGGGCACAAAAACATGAAGGTGGAGTAAGAACCAAAAGGACTTTGAGTGGACATAACAGTCCAGTTTTTCTTTATTTACTTTAAGTGAGTCTTGAAATGTTAACTCCAACCTACCGTTTGATGTGCACCTCTAAGGCAACGCCTGTATCCAGGTCCAGGGGCTGGTGCTCGATGCGGACAATAGTGTCTAGAAAGGTGACTTTAATACGACGAAGGACTGCAAACACAGATGAGACGACAAACATGCAAAGTTACATTAGTGTTTATCTTTCAAATCCTCTCTTCTTAGTCATGAGTGTGTGTTCAGACTGGATTTTCACTGGAGAAATATTCCCACTAATATTGTCAAGAGTGTTCATTATTACTGCGGGAGAATTTTGACGTCTACACATCGACACACACAGTTTTCACTCACCCGTCTCAATGGTTTGTGCAAACATCTCAAGCCCCTCCAGCGGGGCAGGTGGCTCCTCGGACGCCTCCGGGGGGTCCTTCAGGCACTCCTGAGCCAGCTGCATGCTGGAGGTCATGCTGGATGACCAACCCTGGGAGTCCCAACCCCCACCTGAGTGCAAATAAATGCTGATTCACAATCAGCCTTGAATTGGCCATTTAAGCTCTTTAACCTATATTCTCTCTGTGCTTTGACAAAGATGTAGTGCAAGTGACATGTGCACACTGCCTTTGTGACTGGGACACTTAATACTCCCAATGCAATATTGTGACATAAAGTTAACAATTTACACATGGAGATTGTGTTGGACCTCCTGTGTTTTCTGGAGACCAGTGCAGAGCTGAGAGGATTAATTAAGTCAGGAAACTAATTAATTTGTTGACAATCATTTCAGTCGTTTTTAACTAAAAATGCAAAACATTATTTGGTGCCACTTACTCAAATGTAATCATTTTCCATGGCTCTTCCTCATATGTGACAATTAACTGATTACTTTTGGGGTTTTGCTCTGACAAAACATTCTGACTATGTCAGTTTGGGCTGCAGAAAAACATAATAGGCTTTGAGTAACTGAGAAGAGTTAAGAAATTGCAGCTTTAGAGAAGTGGTTTGATTAAAAGCACACAAAGGTCTTTGCAAATGACAAGTGGACTTGTGGTGAAATGAATCTGCCTGAATGTGTGGAGCCCTCCACCCTCATTCACATCTTGATGTGTGCATCTTTTTCTATATTCTCTATATATTCTATGTATTCAATATTTCTATATGCACTTCAATATTAAATCTTACCAAATGGACACTTATCTCTGCTCACCAAGAGACAAAACAAGAGATCTACTGCAGGAATAATTGTGGTAAAACAATAATGAAAACAGGAACAAATTAGTCCTTTGAACATTAATCATTATTTTGGACCGCACTCGTCAAATTTGGACAGCATGAGTCTAATAAACCCAAGAAGATCCTCCCTCACTCAACCTGTGGCTGACTGATGTGTTTGGTAGAAGGGAATAGGGAATAGGGGGAAATCCCAAGGGTTGACTCAAGAAGTTGTTTATGAGTGAACTTACTGGTCCGGTACTTGGGTCGACATGTTATCTGAAGACCAGAAACTTCTAAGGTGCAGTGATCAGTCAGGAGAGCTTGCCAGGGGATGGTCACTGCTATGCTGCTCACAAAGCCATCCACTATCTCCAGAGGAGCTCCCAGAGACTCCAAAAGCTCATTGACCGCCTGGAGTAAAGAGGAAGCAGTGAGTCAGGAGAGAGGGAAGAAATACAAAGTGAAAGAAATGAGAATAACTGTTTCATATCCATCCTATCACTCTGGACGTAGCCTTATAAAGCAAAGAAGTGCATAGTTAGCATAGCAGAGGGAAATATATCTGTTCAGAGTGTTTAGACACTAATGAGAGATACAGCTAATCTGGTGGGCTGGTGTTAGTTTCCCAGGAGTGTATTTCCTCGAAGAAATGCGAGCTAGGCTATGAGCATGACGTTGAAGATTGTTGTTGAACTCGAGTGCAGTTGCGAAACAGTCAAGGGTGCACGAGTCGGACAAAAACACACGATGACTGCTGCTGTGGTGGTGGAAAGTTGACAACCACTCTGTCCTCTCTTGATCAAAACTCACCCAGACATCGAGGTTGATTTCCTTGATGACACCGCTGCCGTTGTACAGGTCCAACCCCAGCTGGTCCAGGCTCAGTCGTTCCTGCAAAAAGTGACCGAGGTAGTGCTGCAAGAGGTATCGACAGGCCCGCTTCTTGATTGAGCCCGACCAGGGGAAAAGCCAGCGAGACATAGGGCCAGAGAAAGCGGGGAGAGGGAGCGAAGAGGTGGCGGAGGAGAACGAGTGCGACTACAGTCCACTGGCAACTGCATAACAGACTAACACAAAGTGTGCAAAAACAAGGAATGAGCCACAGCTAGCTACAAGGGGCTAAGGAAGGGGTAAACCGTAACTCTAGTTCCCCCCTAGGCTTGACACAAAAACTAGAAAATCCTTTGTGTCAGGACCGACGAGGCTCCCACGCTACTTGACGAGACGTTACTCCAAATGTCTGTAGCTGTCTCGGCTCATGTTTTCTATACGTTTCAGTCGAAGCGGAGCGACAGGTCCTGTTGGTGCGTATCTCCTGTTTCAGGGTTGTTTATTGTTATCATACGCCAACTGATGGTATGGTGAACGTACGTGCGTCATGCGTAACCGTGACGAAAGACAAGACCCGGAAAAGAGATATGATTCGCTCCAGGCGCCATCTTTGTAAGGTCAATAAGTATAATAATCACATTTTACCATGGATGTATGTGTCTTATAATACATCCATGCATTATACTCCAAATTGACAAGATAATGTTTTTCAAATGTGGTTACAAAGGAACTTGCAGTTAATGACAAGGGAATAACTTCTGTACAGTCATTTGGTTAATTCTCAAAAAGGAGCTCAGCAACACTGAAGACAAAGTAAAGTGGATGATTCTCTCCTTGGTGAAAAACAACCCTTCACAACATCTAGCTAGGTCAAGAACACTCTCTGGGAGGTAAGCGTACCATTGTCAAAGCCATTGGCAATACAGAGGATTTACCACAAGGTGAAAACCACTGGTATCATTCACAAACAGAAAGGCTAGATTAGACTTTGCCAGACAACATCTAAAAAAGCTTCCTCAGTTCTGGAACAAGATTCTTTGGACAGGTGAAACCAAAATTAACTTGTACCAGAATGATGGAAAGAGAAGGAACTGTTCAGTATCCAAAACATACATCATCATCTGTCAAACATGGTGGAAGCAGTGTAATGGCATGGGCATGTACAGTATGGCTGTCAGTGGAACTGGGTCACTGGTTTTTATTGACGTGACTGCTGACAGAAGTAGCAGGATGAATTATGAAGTGTATCTGCTCAGATTCTGCCAAATACTGCAAAACTGATGGGACGATGCTTCACAGTCCAGATGGATAATGACCTAAGCCATACTGCAAAAGCAGCCTGAGAGCTTCTCAAGGCAAGCAAAAAAAGAATATTCCTCAATGGCCGAGTCAGTCAGCAAACCTCAACCCAATTGAGTATGCCTTTGACTTACTGAAGGTAAGGTTACAATTCCTTAACAGTTACTGCAATATTTTTGTTAACTTCTTTAAGCTGAAAGTCTACACTTGACTCGTATCTCAATGCCTGTTTCACATCCATTGTGGTGGTGTACAGAGGCAAAATTACAAAAACTGTCACTGTCCAAATACTTATGGACCCAACTGTACTGCACTTGATCTGTATTTTCTATTCAGGAGCTTGCTCAGCTATCAGGAAGATAAGTGCCTAACTTCTATATATGCTGAGGTAAACTGTGAGAACTGGTCAAAAGCTCCAGCCGGTCGCTGGAGCTTGAGTTAGGATTTTCGAGTATTAGTATTTTCAAGCTTAAGAATACATTTTCACGCTCAATATTTTCTTATTGTGGCAGAAGTGAAATGTAGCAGTTGTGTGACAAAGTATTTTTATTGTTAAACACAATATAACAAATTAAGATGAACAAAGTTAGCCATTCGTCTTTATTCCTATGAAAACATGTAGTGATTTCTATACAAATGATCAAAAACTGAGATTACGATGACAACCAAAGATGGTATCATAACATCAGTCTTTAGATCAAACTGTTGACATTTGGCTGCTAAAACAAAACAGTAATTAAAGTAATCAGATCAAAGAAACTTGATCTACATTATTTTTAATAAAACAAAAGTCAACAGTGAAGGATAAAACAAATAGGATAAATAAAATTACTGAGGATTTTATTTCACATATGTATGATTCAACTCTTCATTTTATGAAAGCAACATCAGGGATCTGGCCTTCCGTCTGGAAAAAGAAAAAAAAAAAACATTTTAGGGACTTACTATAAAAATGATCACACCTGTACAGAAATTACATTAAATCAATATAAATCATTTTACCTTTAACTGAGTGAAGATTTGTGCCGCCCTGTTGAAATCCCACTCATTGTCTTGCAGACACCTGTGACAGAGAACAAGTGTTTAGATATTTTAAATGAAGTGAATAAATTATGTCATGCATCATTGCCAACACTACATGCACAAACACATGACTTACTTTTGGGACCATTCCAGGTTCATGCCAGACTTCTGTGAGAAGGCTGTAAGCATCTCTTGCTGCGGTGCAGTGAGGGTGGGGACGGGGCTGGATGATGGAGTCGGGGCGGGAGCCACAAAAGCGCGGCGGATCTCCTCTGTTGTGGCCATCCGGATGAAGAGCTGGTCGTTCACGATGCACAAACTGTGTCACAGGAGAAACACAGTAGACAATGAAGTTTCAATGTTTCAGGTATTCCAGGAGGGGGAGGACTTCCTCCTGACTTATGTGCACAATTTACTGCTGGATACACCTGCATCGCCAGGTTACTAGGTATGCTAAGCTAAAACCAATGAAATCCACAACAACTGCTGTGCAATAAATCCTACCTTCATGAAAACCACAATATTAGTTTTTTATGGTTTAACAGAAGTGTTGGTATTAGACTTCATTAGCTAATAAACTGGCAACTTGAGTACTTTTGGTTAATCAAATACCAGCAGCATTTAGACCTCTACTGCTCATAAAAAGATCTGGGCACCTACATGTTTGAGAAAATCATTTATTTGAGACAACCAGAAACTGAATTTAGGACCAATTGTGGAAAAAAGTATCAGCACACTGAATCACAGTTAGCTTTATGAAACTAACAATCTGGTGCATCGGGTGACCTAGTGGTTAAGATGCATATCATATAACCCTTCTCCGTCATATCCTCTCTCTCGCTGCCCTTCATAGTCCATATCTTCATTGTAAACTGTCAATTCTTATTAAAATTGGTGATTTTAGTACACAGGGCTTTTTATTCATGGCTGTTAAAGCAGATATGACAAGGATGTTTGTCTTTATGTCTAGTTCATTTTCTTGATCCACAACTGTTGTTAATATGTTTGTACTTTGAAACAGGCACTTCCACAGGGGAAAACAAGATGGACAACAGGAAGGTGATAAAAAACCACTGGGAGCTCACTAAACTTACCCAGAACCCCCTGCTGGGACTGTGATTAAAACTCGAGAGAAGGCCATGGTGGAGTCTCGGGATTTACCATCAACAGCAACTGAAAAACAGACACGACACAAATTAGTAACAAAATCAACACCACTTATCTTTGCACTGAATGAGAACCTCATTTAAAGTCATGATGAGCAAACATCTCACCTTCTTTGAAGACTCCACTCACTGTGAATGACAGTAGTGTGTTCTAAAAAAGAAAACATTTTTAAGAGAATGAATACAGAAAAATGATTCACAGTGAGAGGAAGAGACTAATGACAAGTGCTGGCCAACACAACAAACATGAACTCACTGTGTAGGTGTTTACGTCGACAGTAAAGGAGGCGATGTCGTGCTGTGTTTTGGGCAACTCGTTGAGGAAAGCCACTACGTTCAGTCGCGTGTGCTTCAGAAGTCGAAATCTCATCGCTAAAGGAGGCGAGGTCCAGAGAGGGAAAACATCAAATCACAAAAATATCCAGACTTAACAATTCAGATGCATTGACAGGTCAAAAGCCTGAAAGGTAATTTAGGAAAAGTCTCACCAATGAAAATGAGGCTGTCACTGTTGCTGGGTAATTGCTGGGATACAGCCTTAATAGACCTGACTAAGAAACCCCGCCTACTCACTGACTGAAACGTGGGTTTGTTTCTTTCTATTTCACCCTCGGTGGATGATGAATGTTCAACAATGTTTTGCCATGCATGGACATCTACCCAGTTAGTGAACTCACACAAATATATTTCTTGCTCGATTTCAATTGTAAACGGCAATTGAGGATTAATAAACCGATACCCTGCAGGAGGTAAACTTTCCCCCATGAAAGATAAACTCACTGGAGTCTTTGATCCTCTTCAGGTTTCGACTGTCTTTGTGATACTCTCCCAGACTGCTCCTAAACATAAGAGGAGAGGGACAGATAAAATCAGTGTGAATACAGCTCAGACTAATATAGGGTGGTGTCAGGGATAAGAGCAGCTAATGATGGGGGAAGCTAAGCAAAAATCTTGTACATGAATAACTTCATTAAATCCTACCAGTTGAAAAACTGAAAAACTATGCACCCCATTACACATAAACAGAAGTGTGTGTCTTTTAGTGCGTTCTTACCTGGAGGGATTCTGGGTGGAGTAAGGTGTTGTGAGGGATAAAGATGCTCCATCATGGTAAGCATCCAGAAGCGGCTGTCTGTCCCCCGAGTCGTATATACTGTAGTACCTGCAACACAGTCAAATTAACATACTTGCCCTCACAGATTTTTTGGGAATAAGGTTGTATAAAAAGCCATACAGGTTAATGAACCGCTACTTGGGTCACATTGCCAGTGCAATTACCCTGGGAAACAGCCACCAATTAAATGACTCTTAATAAAAATGTGGAAACTCACTGTTGCAAGAAGCGAAGGATGAGAGCCTTGATTTCATCGGAACCAAAACAGCTGCCCTGGATTGTCAAAAGGTAAAACATTTGTGAGGTATATGAAGAAGACATTTCTAAAATTAATTAATTAACAGCATTAACACCTTGGAGAGGTTATACTGAATGTCCCGTATTCCTAGAAGATATCCTAAACATGTCAGTTCGAGCAAAAATATACTATTGTAAATCACGAGTTAAAACAAGTAACCTTGCACGGAGGGATGGTGGTGGGTGTTTCCACATCAAATCCAATGGGTGGGGGGAGGTCATGACCATCCTAAAAAGGAGAGCACACATGAAGTAAAATACATGAGAGAGAAATCCAGACTGGTGGATTGCTTGACCAGTTAAAGATCAAAATATACATCAATTAGAAATAATATCCAAGTGGAAGCAATATCTCTCCTTACAACTCAAAGCAGCATTTTGTCCCAGTAAGGATCTGATAATGCTCATTTGCATTCAGCTTGTAATTTACTGCCCTCTTGTGGCTGCGGTAGGTTATTGTCTCTGGAAGCTAGCTCGACTACCAGCTGTTGCATCTATCGTTTCTGTCATTTTCACACAAATTTGTTGTGTCCTGTTGACAAAGGCGAAGTAATTTTTTTTTGGATACAGTGGGGAAAAGTTGGCGAACCCTTTGGAATTACCCGGTTTCCTGCATTACTTTGTCATAAAATGTGATCTTCTCTTCATCTAAGTCACATGCGTGGACAAACAAAAAATGTTCCCAGTAGCATTGGGAAGTTGCTCTGTCTGCTCTCTCTTCCTCTGTCCATTTAATTTAATTTAATTTAATATAGATCAAGATACTGCAACAACTCACGAACAATTGTCTAAATAAAAATTAGTACTGTATAATGCTAAAATGCATTGTTAATCAAATAATGAAAATGTAACAGTAAAGAAATACAGAGATGGAAAAGGTAGTAAAACTATAAAAACAAGACTATACCCATTAGGTGTATGTTATTGTATGAATACAAGTACACCTGGCGGTCCACAAAACCTACAGCTCTTATGCCTTTTGCAATATTGACTAAAAACACAGTAAATGGTTCAACGTCAACTTATCTTTGAAAAAAATACCTTCAACCCATGGTTTTTCATTATGCACTTAACGCTGAGTGTGGTTTGACTGCAACCAATGTAATGTACCATGAAAGAAAGGAGGCTGTTGGGAAAAGTTGAAATGAGATACACACGTGGACTTACCAGTTTGAGAAGCCGGGGAAACCTCTGCCGCACAGCACTGGTATGGGAACAAAAATCAAGAGCAGGAAAGTTACAATCACAAACCACATCACACACACACACAGATAAATCATGTTCAATACATTGATACCACTGTCAGTCACACCTGCTGACCCTCTTATGTCATTTTGTGCCTTTCAGTTGCTGTAATTTTAAGCCGTTACACTGTCAAGAACATTTGGGAGAATACAGTCATGTACAGATACATGGAAATAGTGTAACTACAACCAGTGTCTCAAGGGATTTATTCTTCTTTGTATTCAAGTAAATCGACAAATGGACTATCATACACACTCTCATCCTCCCTTAAATTTCATGCTGTGCTCTTCGACAGTTCTCCCACCCCAAAGTGTACTTACCAGCAGGTATACTCACCCTCTCCCCCAATATGGAGATATACACAGATCTGACATGGGGAGGCAACACAAGCACACTTTTGCAGGAGCACACACATACAAACATGCAGAGACCCACAATCTACCAGACTGTGCTGGAAACCAGCAAACACATCCAATTTCAATTAGTAAAATAAAGAGGTTATGCACAGCTGCGAGAGAGGTGGCTGACGGTCTCATGAAAACTGCCCCCCTTCAAACTCTGGCCAAGATGTTGGGGAGCAGATGAATCTCACAAAACAGGGTCTGGTTAAAAAAAAAAAGGAAAAAAAAAAAAAAGAAAAGTAAAATGCACACAGACACAAGTAGTCTGACATTCAGGAGAGGTGCCAATCGCTATTTGAGTTTGTCGGTGTCTGCGCCCATGATTATCAGCAAAGAAAGAACCTGAGAACAGAACTGAACAAAAAGGACAGCAGGCCTCAAACTGAGCTGGACCCAGCAGTCTCACCACTCATCCTATAGCCTTCCCCTGCTGTGCAAGCAAAGCAGTTATCAGTATCTCACAGCCATCATCAACTCTGAAGAGATGGGTCTTCTTGAACTAGTAATTATAGGCTTTAAATTTTCTAGCTTAATTTGGGCCCCATACCTCTGCTTACAGAGGGACTGGAATATCATTAAGCTTTCGACTGAAGTGATAATTCTCTACTCTGCTCTCTCTGCTTGACATTTGAGCCTTTTGTACTGGTCACAGCTATCAGAAACTGGAAGAGGAAGCGTTTTCACGTTTTTTCATTTGACTTACTCCGGGCAAAACTGAACTTCAATTTTCAGTTCAGAACATATTTCCCTCAGACATTAGTTAAGGGTATTTGCCAAACTCTCCACTTCATTCACTGAACCACAGAGGCCCGTCTAGGCCAAAGAGAACCAAGAGAAGAGAGAGACCGCCTTTGATCTTTGGCTCATCATAGGTCATTGATAATGACATGTATCCCCTTCTGTCTCAGCCCAACGGCATTTCCTGTGGAGTCCCGTCTTCTCAATTTCTTCTGGTCGCATTCTTAGTGAGTCCGAGCTCACGGGGACTAAGGCTGAGTAATCGTGACTGTGCCTGCCTTAGGTTGTCCCAGGGTTTCGAGGTGGGATCTTACCCGTCATAGGCTATCCAGCCTTCCATACTCGCCTGATACAGGGGGCCAAGTGGGCAAGGGTGCTATGAGGGGATGGGAATCATTGGCTGTGGATTTTCTTTGTTTCATCCAAACAATTGTCAACACAACTGTGGATTGCCCTCTCTCCAATAAACAACCTACACTGTTATACAGTACTGCTCAAGAGATGGTTTTGGCTTTGTATTTTTGAAAGCAGTTCACAGCAGATTGTGTTAGAAGTCATGCTGAATGTCTTCTTTCAAAAAAGTGCTTCTTCTCAGAGTTATATATCTGCAGCAGTGTGATGGTGTTTTGCAGCAGCTAATGGGATAACTAACCAGGATGGCAGCAGAGGAGTGCTGGGTGCAGCATCACTGAGTACCATAAAAGAGACCAAAGCATGAAAAGATGTCCCACAAAAAGGTGAATAACTGGCAGAGAGAAGATAGCTGTTCAAACTGTGGAGAATTTAAGCAAGCTGAAAGGAAAACGATGTGCATCGTGGTTAGATGGTCCTCTCAGCAACTTTTAGAATAAAGAAATGTTTAGTTTGCAGTGTGAAAAAGAAATATTAATCATCAAGTGTGAAGGAACGTGTAAAACAAAACCAAAAATCTTTTGAATTTTTTTCAATTCCAAATGAATTTATGCATTTCTTATCTCCCCCTTTCTTTCTCTCATGCACAACGACACACAATGTACACAAATACAGGGAGTTAACGGTGAATGTCAGCTGGCTCTGCTTTGTCCTTTTGTCCTAGTTCACCCTTGACTGTTGGGGGAAACGGTTTCAGTTATCATAGTTTCAGACATCTCTCTCACACACACAGACACAAAAACACAAAGGCTTGCTTATCCTTCTTTTTTTTTTAGCACATTGCCGCTTATTTTTGTTATACAGGAAAGACCCGTGGACACCCATAGTCACACACAGTCAGTCACACCACTGTGTCCCTTCCATAAAAGCATCTCCACTCACCCCCCAAAATCGCTGACTGACCTGATGTATGACGCCTGATCCTTGAAGTAGAGACACAGAGGGTTCCTGTTCAGCCACAGCTCCACCAGCTTCAGGCCTTTCACCTTGTCCAGCTCCCGGTCAGACTTCAGCTGGAGGACCCCACAGTAACAGAGCAATATGGTGTGAGGGGAGGATTTTTTTTATTTTTTTTTTTATGTCTGGTTATTATACTAGATCAACTGAACAGCCAGTCTCACCTCATTGTGGGAAAGGTTAAGGGTCTTCAGATTAGGCACCTTGGTAACCAATTCAGCGAGTTCATCCAGTTTGTGAATACGGTTGTTGCTCATGTTCAAGCAAGCCAGCTGGTAACAGTCAAGAGGAGATATGTGTAAGCAAATGCACTTTGACACATCACCTGATTAGAAAGCAGCTTGGGTGTGGACCTCCAACATGACAACAGCAAATAGTTCATTAGTTACTTTCCAAAAAATAACATTACAACCATCCACTGTATGGATGTTACCTCTGGAATGTTTTCTTCAATGATCCTGATGACAGCTTCCATGTGTGTCTTCCGATTCAAGGTGACTTCAATTTTGTGGGACACCAGGTCTGTGACATAAAATAAAATTAGGAATCAAAACACTCAAATACTCCAAATTGGAAAATCATTTAGTATCATTTTCAGTGGCTGCATAGTAATCAAATAAAGCTCTGCAAGGTTCAAACCCATCACCAGATTGCCTGCACCATCTTTAGAAACCTCAAAGTAAAACAGTGACCAAAGCAGTGACCATTTGCATACAAAGACACATAGAACAACAACAACATACAAAGATTAGATGCCTGGGAGAGGGGTGAGAGAGAGTAATTACCAGGGTCTGTTCGGATGTTGTTCAAGTCAAGTGCTTGCTGGGAACCATCAAAACGTTTTGCCATGCATTGCTGTGAAAGATAACACAACGCTCAACATGAGAAGCAAGATCAGCAAAAAAAAAAAGAAAAAAAAAGTCAAACTTTCTCCCATTCATTTTGATGAACAACAACAATAATAATAATAATAATGAATGGGCACTGTGCTTTACAACTGAATTCCTTGAACACCTCAACAGTCTGTTCCTGAGAAATCCCCTTTCCACCACTGTCAAATCAAGTCCAAAGCCGACCATACCCTGATTGCTCACCCTGAAGTAAATTTAAACGGACTTGAGGGCCCTCACTGCAAAAAAAATCACACATCACTTGATATTGAGCTACTTTTTAGTTCAAGTATTACTCACACTCATCAGAGAGACTAGATGAAATTTTAACCACCAGGGATCTGAGAGACTAAAAATCTTACTCTCAAAATGTTATTACTGTCACAGCCCCATCCAGAGGGTTCAAACAGTTTACTTCCTCTAGCTCACCTTCAGCTGCTCCAGGTGGTCTGGCTTCAGGTCAGAGAGGAGGAAAGATGGTGGAGCACTGCCGTTGACGTGTACCTCCACCTTCAAACATCAGGTGGCATCAGAGAGATCAATAAAAAGCGATATATCAAACACGTGTAGAGTTTTAGATTTAGTGGGATTTAAAGTTGTGTCAAAGCAGATAGGATAAGAACGTAATTTAACTCTAGCTATGTTCTGCAAGCTGCAGATAACCGTGTAGGATGTCACCATAATCTGAAGATACATATATCAAAACTGATCATTAAGAATATTGAACTTTTGACACTGAAAGATTTTCTGTTAAAGAGATTTATATTGTGACCCCAACATACCTTATAACCATCTGTGTCAGTGATCTTGTGAGAACATTTGCGTAAAGCATTGGCAGCAGGGGAATCATCCACGTAGAAATGTGCCCTGTCATGGTCAACATGGTACTGGAAAAATGGGGGAGAGAGAAAGACATGATGATCCATCCATATGAAGACATGCTCCAAAAACAGCCCCTTCCTAAAAACCTTTAGCTTAGCAGTTTGTCTAGATAGAAGATATCTTTCTTACAACCTGGAAATCATTTTTTTTTAATTACTATTAAATTGAGAACTACACAAAAGCATTTTTCAAAATCTATTACTTTGGTAATAAGTAAACATTGATAAGACAGTGTTGAACCTCACCTGTACAGGTGTGAAGGGAACTGAACAGATGTTCTGAAGAGCTGTCAATAACCATTTTTTGTCATATTTTCTTCCATGTGGAATCTGTCAAACAGAAAAAAAATTATAACATGATCTTATTTACCAGGTTACAAGGTAACCTGACCGTCTTGTGGTGACTATTAATAATACGCACCGTTACTTTGGACCAGCCTGACTGGTTTTTCCCTCCTCCACTGCCGCTTCCTCCACCTCGGTCTCCTCCCCTGAAGCCGCCGCCTCCTCCTCCTCTACCGCCTCCTCCCCCTTTGCCTTGTCGCCTATCTCGGTCAAATCGTCCATCTCCTTTCCGAAAAGGTCTTCCGTATGGGTTACTAAAGACAAGCCAAGGACATACAGTGGGGTCTAAGTCTGAGACAACTTGCCCATTTCACTTGAATCCAAAGCACGTAGAAACAATCCTCCTTTAGCCAGTGTCTACTGCCAGAACTTTTCCAGGAACATTTCAGTGCACTATGAAACTTCACCAATGTTTTGGACAGACAGAGGAACGAGGGTCTAAATTAAGTTCCTCTGCCATGGGCCCTTCTCAGACCTGGCATTAACATGCGTCTTGGCTGATCTGATCACAAGTGGACAGCTCTGAGGATGCCATTTCAGACCCGCCATTAACATGTGTTGAGTGACCACTTATGATCAGATCTCATTTCCCCACTCTATATGCAAATAAACTCGTATGTATTATGAAGGGTTGAGCGAATCATTGCCCTGCGCAAAGCTCTACAATGGAATAAAGTTTTATCCATTTTAAATAGTAAAATACTTTCGGTTCCTTGTGAAACTGCAGCAGAACATCCTTTGATTAGGCGGCCCTTCAATGTGGCCAACGACGCATTTGTGTTCACACTGCTGAGAATTTGGCCATACATGGCCCAGACCACCTCCGACTGTGGCCGGAGTGATCAGATCTCAAATGTGTCCTCAATGCGCCTTGGGTGCATTCACACCTGTACTTAAGGCTGTCCACTTGTGATTGGATCATAAGAGATGGATGTTTATGCCAGGTCTGAACGGGGCCATAGTTGCTCCAACAAACTTCCTGCTCTGTGGGCTGTGGGTAATATTTTTCAAAAGCCCAGGAACAAATGAAGCAGAGTTTCCTGTGGTGTTTCTAAATGTCTCCGTAACTAGCAAGTCTGAGAAGTAAACATTTTTTTTTGTATTGTTGCGATTGTTTATCTGAGTAGAGTTTCTGTGACTCTTCATCACAGATGTACTAGAAAAGTCTGGAAGGTGTATTGAGAAAAAAAAATCCTCTTATAATAATTGGAAACAGTTTTATTTACAGTAAATGTTTCACACCTGACTTTAAGGGTTAACATACATTTTGAATGTGATTCGACGTGACATTTCCCCACTCCTCTTTTATGATTGTTTTGCTAACTTTAAAAAATGAAACTGGCAGAGCTCCTGGTAATTTTAATAAATTTACACACTGGGAGCTGATAAAATTTAAAAGTTTGCTGGCAAGAAATCCATGAAAGTAAAACTGTAAAATGCATGTATAGTGTCACCATTTAGTTAAAATAAAACAGCATTAAGATAATAGTCATAAAATAGACGAACAAAACGACTGAACTGAGCTCCATTCACTTTCACAGTTTCACTTTTGTTTGTTACCCTTGAGGTTCCTTTGAGTGGGTAGACAGAGGTTTTCATATTCTGCATTGTGCAAGAAATGCTAAAGATGAAAATGGTCAGGCTTGTTCTACTTTCTCTTCCTGTGACTGACTAAAGCATAGTACAAACTCTCTGTGTGTCTCCCAGCGGTTGAAACATTTTATTTTAAACTTGTTATCCTTGCACTTAGATGAACATATTTGAAAGTTTCTTTTGGCTTCTACACAAACACAATTCTCTAAGCCCCTTTTATAAAGTGAGGTTCTTGTTTTAGAGCTTCTCCATGAGTCCCACCATAGCAAACATGATGACAGTTAAATTATCAACAGTCATGAGTTTCCCCTAGGGGATAAATAAAGTATCTATCTATCTATATATCTATGTCTGTTAATCAACACACTGGCTTAGTCAGTCAGCCACACTTACAATCTGTGCTGGGAATTGTTGTCCTGTGCGCCATCACTCATAGTGACATCTCCATCAGTATCTTCAAGCCTAGACCGTGGTCCAGGACCACCAAAGCCACCTGGGTGGCCTCCCCGTTGGCGGTCTCTGCGGGACCTGTCATACGACCGACCTTTGTGGGAACCTCGGCCTTTACGGTTGCGAAACTGTGGTGCGGTTCTATCATCATGCTCTGAAAAAAGGAACCAAAAAACAAAAGTTAGTCATTTTAACATGAATATCACATCACAAATATACATGATCGACAATACATTAATTAACATTAAGTCAAGCCAAAGTATATACAATTCTATCAGCACATAAGACAAGATGAAAGTTAAACATATCTAATAATGGACTTATTATGAGAGACTGAGAATAAATGGAGCCACAATGTCGCATTTATTTTTTTCAGTGTATAAACTGGAAAGAAATGTACACATCTTATGGTTATGGTTTCATGAACAGAATCTTTAGAGGATCTTACTGAAACCTACGCATATGTGTAGACATATTTCAAAACCTTTATCATATTAAATAAAAATATAAAAAATGTCTTCAATGCATAGACTGGGAACAAAACATACTAAAGGATAGGACCTTGCCTTATTGACCTCTGCAGTACCTGTATTCATTGTATTCTGCTTTAAGACTATAACCAATAATCTGGTATTGTAATTATAATAAAATAGTAGTAATAATATTGTACAAGGTAAATATTTATGTCTGTAAAGTGACATAATTAGACCTATAGACTGCCTTACATAATATATATACTTTTACCTCCTAGGACCATGAAATCAGTGCTTCTGACCTCTCTCCTCGACAAAAAGTCCTCATGGTCTGAAGAAAAATGGTAAAAGTAGCAGAGAAAGTGTAAGATTAATGCTGTGGTGAACAGGTTTTCTTACCGTTGTAGTAATGCCCGCCATCCGCCATATTTCTCAGACAGTGTTAGACTGAAAAAACAAAAAAAAAACATACACGCACAACTCTGGGTGGAAAAAATAATATCCGCAGGGCCTCTCTTTCATGAAACACAAAGGCAAGGCTGTGGAAGGAACTCCGTCATCGCTAGTGGGTCAGAGAAAGACAAAGAAGAGCACGACCTGATTGCAGGGAGTGCTCTTTAACTAGCTGTTAGCTTAGCTGGCTAGCTTCTCCGACTGCGCGTTGACGAGAAGACAAAGGAAGTGCTACGTTCACACTATTTAACCTTCCGGGGCAAGATAATGGCGCGGGAATGGAAGGAAGAAAAACTGAGTCCGTGGTCAAAACGTAAAACACTAACATGAAAGACAACACAATATAACTAAAGTATAGCTTAACAAAAAAAGGTTGTTAGACGTCGTACTAAAAGTCTTACCGTTGTGTAATTTTGTGATACTTTTGTTTTATCCGTGAAAGAAAAAAATGTGGAATGTAACACTGACGGAGCACACTGACTGTTTTACATTTATACATTAAGTATATTTTGCTGATAACATACAGAGAAAACGTGCTTTTACCTCAATAAGGTTGTGAATGCAGGACTTCCATTTGTAACAAAGTATTTTTTTTTTTTAAATGTGATATTTTTACCTTTACTGAAGTGAAAGAAATGTATTTCTTTAATTTAAAGAAAGAAAGGAAATTATTTATTTCACCCCTGTAGGGTATAAGGTACACCTTGCCAAAACTGGAATTATTCGAAAATATTCCAGTAAGATAACATTCCTTGTGCACTTGTTTTTTATACTTTCATTTGTTTTTATTTTTTCATGTACCGTAATACTACTTTTTAAATACTTCTTAAGGTACTTTTACATCAACAAAACAACTATAGAAGCAGGTCTTTGTTGTCCAAATGTTTTCTTGTTTCAAATATATTAACCTAAACTTTCAGTAATAAAATAATCTAATATGAAACAGTTGTATTAGTTTGGTTGTCTGCTGCTGTCGTGACCAGGTGTTGCTAATCCTCCGATTACTGTAATGTGAAACAGTTACCACAATTACCGTGAGTGCTCAGAGTTCATCCCTTTTAGTATTCTTACAGTCAAGGATTTTCAAACGATCTTGCGGTCAGGGTTGAGCAGTATAGAGCTCAATAGGGATAATGGTGTATTTTAGGAAAGTCCATTAGTGCCTAAAGAAATTTTTGCCAAATTATCATTAGTGTTGTTTTTCTCAAGGCATTCTTCATAATTCATAACAATAAACTGCATTTCTAATTGAAATCTAATGCAGTCAAAAAAGAGTGTTTTGATGATTATCAAAGTGTTGTGCTGTTATATCAGACTATCACTATAAAGTTACACTGACAATGCCACAGGTTTCAGTATGGTGCTGTCCTTGATTCTGCCAAGATTTCTCTCTGATTGACACACAAACCATCTGACAAGTTCAATTTTGAAAAAAGGTGACTAAAAACAGGTGAGAAAAGTAATGCAGGCACAAGCTAAGCTTTGTTTACTTTCAAATATTATCCCCATCAGACCTCTCCATGTCAAAGCATACTCTAACAACCAGGCTTCAATCACACCTACGTGACTTACCAGCCCAGGAAATCCTACCTAAAGCGAGTCAAAAGCTGGCTAGCCCACGTGTTTGTGATTAATGGACCAAACTTACCTTCATCCAGTACACGTGTGACCACAAGGTTGGGGTAGTTTCTCTGACACAAAGTCACACGGTCCATCCAGAAAACCTCGTCAAACTCAGCTTTTGGGGAAACTGTCATAAACTTGTCATTTGGAAAACATTCAAAAACAACACTGCCAGATGCTGAATCGGTTTTGTTGAGGTGAAATGTAAATTTTAACTTTTTTTTTTCTTTTTACAGCTTCACCTCAGTCAGCTAAGCAGTAAATTGTGTTAGCTAAAGCTAACTGTTAGCGTTATCGTGGCGGAGGATCTTGCCAGACTCACAGACATAACCCGAAAAATATTTACCGATTAATTTCTTTTTCCGTGGTAATATATCTTCTGAGGTATTGTGGAGCACCTGCCTACTGTCTGTTGTTCAGGATAGTGTCAGTCATCTCTATCCCACCTGACTTCTCCAGCACGAACAACAACAGGGCGCCACCAGGTGGAGGTACTGCACCTGTACGTCGTACATGTCACGTCCATGAGGTTCTGATGGTCTGTGGCGTTCAGTCAACTCTACGGTCATTTGTAGTTTGTGGTCCAGCTGTTACATTAGTGTTACATTAGCGTTCCTCAATGTAAGCAGGCCTACTTCAGTATAATTTTGAATCACTTTACTTGAGTGTTTTTACCACTTTGCATTTATTTGTAATGCTTTATTTTACAGGGCCTCCTAATAACAAACAAACCACGTGGTTATAGTTTGGTAGGAAAAATAGTTCTCAGACTTTTATTTTTGTTGGTTCAACTAGTTGTGTCGATCTTATTATTGACCTCCAGAAGATTTTCCCTGTAAGAAATGTCTCTATTTAAACTACAATGAATTTATTGCTCATTCATTTATTATTGGAAACTTTCTTCATTTATGCTGAAATGTATGTATGTCTCTAGACCCATTTCGAAAGTGTACCAACTGATCACTATCTATTTCATTCATAATTGTTTCCAAATTATGTGGTTCTTTCCAGGATTCTTCTTAGATTATTTGGAAATAATTTGGAATTTACAAATCATTTGTTTGACAGTAGGTTTCCAGTTATTTAAGATTAAGATTATACATAAAACATGAGATTGTAAAATACAATACATTGTTATATTTGGAAAAGTTGGGATTTCCACTTGAAGTTAAATAAAGTTCTGCAGATATGAAAAATATTTGGCAGCATATCATGAATTTGTACCAAGATTGAAGCTGTTAAAATCTTAGTCAATCCATGGGAGTGTGTGTATTTATATACTTTGATGAGGGGATACATACTGTTTGCTTGCTCTCCTCTTTCTCTTTGTAGTTCATATATCTGTAACCTGTTGGTGTTATATGAAATGACAGGAGTGCATTTTTGTAGTGTCAGGGATGTTGATATATGAAGACTGAGCAGATCAAGGCATTCACTGTTTATTTCACTTAGGTTGCACCACATAATATGAGAAGGTGTTTTGTATCATCAACTGTATTCAGCCTATAAGACAAGGAAAGCATAACATTTCAGCTGCATCATATGTAAATAATTCAAAACCCTGATAGTAATATCACATCTGTTTAACCAGTATATCTTGATTCGTATTTCAGGTGTCTTTTTATAGGCATGGTTATTCTTTTTATTAGCTTATAAAAGGTAGAAAATGAGGCTTCTCAACAATATGTGTGTTTGTATATGATTCATTATGAGTTTCCTTTGCTGCTATAAACAAATGAGCTTATCATGTGTTGCAACACAGGTGAGATATTTGAGTTTTCGCAAACCAACCCAATGAAAAAAACAAACATAAAAACACCAGTGTTGTGGTAAAGCATCAACAGGTACAGGGCGGACATCTTTGGATTTTTGGTCCTTTACAAATGATAAAAAAAAAAGGAAATAGCAAGGAAAGGGAAAAAAGTCATGTAAAGCTTAAATTCTTTGAGTCCATAACACCAGCACCGTCTCCACTGTTACAGTATGTACATGCCAGATGTACCACATCACATTTTCTATGATTTTAGCTGAATTGTACTCCCTTGTTCTTCTTCAGCCTGTGAAGACAGATTCCTCCTCTGTTGTCTCTTCCAGTGAAGGAAATGAGGCAACAGTTTAATGTGTAACAGCACCCGTTTCATCCACCTGCTCCTGAGTTTGAGTTTTCTTTAAGGGGCGTCTCAACCACAACCCTCAGTCTGCTTCATGTAACACTCTTCTCATCTCCACCATTGTCCTCCTGTTGCCAGGAGACCACACTGATGGCCTGGCTCAGAGAAGTGATGAGGGAGGTCAGGCCTATGAGGTAGCCGTCCTCCCTGCTCCCCTCAGCCCACGGGACGTCGTGTTGGAGCTTGCTCGTGTCAGGCACAGGGATCGTCTTCCCAAAGTCTATCATCCACACACTGGCCTTGCTGCTATGGTCGTGGACAAAGAGAAGCGAGCTGCCAATCACCTGATCAGGTCAAACATATATTTATATGTAGATTAAGCAAGGATGAATTTAAGTGAGGTGAAAATAAACTAAGAGACGAGTGAAGATAAGCAAAAAGACCTCTTGGTTCAATATAGTCTAATGAATTCTTTACAGGTCCATCTTTTATTGCATTCACTGATATTTCAAATCCTCGTTCTTCGCTTCAGATAGAATTATTTAAAGCAGAATTTAACAAAAAAAGGGGAGGATTTGTCTCTCTAAACCAACCTCATGGGTTCTGAAAAATGATGAATTCATTAGTGCATCACTCAGGGCCAGGAGTCTGGAGTGGTATGCTTTCTGAGGGCAGAGATTGGAGGACAGAAGAGATAAACACTTGCAGTTTAGCTGCAAAAAATAGTGTTAACACAGGGTAAAACATTGAAATACATTCAGGAGAGGGGACATAAAATATATAAACAACAATGGCAGAGATTAGGGAGGTAAAAACAGAAAACTAAGAGAAGAAAGTTGTTTAAATTTCCATTTCTTATTAGGTTTTGTTGTGTTTGACTTTTAAACTGACATTTAAAACCTTTCTATATGATGTAATATTTTTTTTAACTCACAGAGTTACACACAATCATGTCTGATATTATATTTACTATCTGCTCACCACAGGACGATGAAGGACAGCTTTTTTTAAAGGTGAGAGCAGCGTAATGCAATTAGTGTTTCTAGGATAGACAGAACTGACCAGGATGTCCAGCTGACTCCTGGTGAAGTAGAGCAACGCCTCTGTGACTTGAGCCAAGGTCAGAATTTTTCGGAAGTCCCGCTGGACACTTCCATCCTCCATCTGACTCACACACACATGCAGAAACACAGCGGCACAGACGGGGCACATTTGAAGACTTTTATGGAATGAAAAAGGTCTGGTAAATAGGTAATTATGGGTAACATGAGTTGTGCAGTGATGTACTGGCCTTTACTCCTACCATGATGCCTTCTATCCTGAAGCCCAGTGTCGATGTAGAACTGGTTGTATCCCTCCACTGAAGGTAGCGCCACTTGGTCACACCTTTCTGTGCATGTTCCTCTGCTGATGGAGCTGACGGGTCTATTTTCACCATCTTTTGGTACATGT